CTGCTGGTCCTCGCACTAGGACGCCATCCCGCTGCTGCCACCAAATGTGACGGAACGCTGGCACTCCGACTGAGTACCTCCGCCAATGCTCGCTGAGGACTCCAAGCACTCCAACCGACACCATCATCACTGCAGACCCCACTTCCAGTGATGCAACTGCGCCGGGGTCTCTGCTGTTTCCACCCACCCTGGACCCAAGGCCAGGATCCAGCTTCCAGTGGGTGAACCTCTCTTTCCCCAGAGAGCAGGAACAGGAACAAATCAAGCTATTGCAAGAGCTTCCTCTGGGGAGTAAGTGATTATAGCAATCCCCAGAGTGTAGGTATCCCTTCCCCCCAAACATGAGCTAAGGCTTAATGCTGGAACAAGACTAATTTACTGGCACACAGAACTCACAATTTATGCAACACAAAACTCCTCCTCTGGGCCAGGCTAGATAATTGAGTTTCTACAATACACAAAGCTCAATTATCTGCTGGCCAGAAATAATACAGTTTCATAAAACACACAGGGACCCCAAAACATGCAATAACCCCATAAAGTATATCCTTGGAACCGGGGGATCTGGGTGAACCATATATCCAAAATTCACCCAGATCCGTTCAGTACTTTGGAAAATACAGTTTAATGCAGATTCTGCAGAACATATACAGGCTAAATGAAAAACAATCACTTTATAATGTGTCCCCTGCTGTATAGTCCAAAACCACTGCATGATGTCTCTGTGCACCAAATACTGGCAAGATGGCACCGTGTTGAAAAGTCCAAACAGTGTCTGTGAGTTAAAATGGCCGCCATCCATTGTTCTCACAATGTGCTTCTGATACAGGAAATGGTGGCCACCCAGTAACTCCACAGTATGTCCCCAGATGGTTCTTAAAGGGCCAGCAGCAGCACAACACAAATCCATTATGCCCAAATCATGTCTTTAAAGGGCAATACATCCCAGGGGCCATGGTCACAGGGCAAGAGGCGGGCAAGCAGTCCTCTCCAGGCACAAGTGGCGAAGGGCACTTCGTCACAGTAATGATTCTACTCAACAGAACAAATTCAATAAGCTGTAGTTGTTCTGGTGACTATAGTGTCCCTTTAACTATATTAATTGTCAGCCAGTCCACACAAGTTTTGTTCCCATACATCCCTCTTAAGTTTCCATACTTAAGTAAGAGTATGTGAAAAGTAGTTAGGGTTGGGACCTTCCTTGGAAAAACATACCGGCCTTACTAATTTGCATAATTAAATATGTATGGGTGACAGCACATGATGTAAATCACAAGGAGTGACATAAGAGAAAATTCTGTAAAATCACCAAAAAACTACTTAGTTTGATTCTGCTGTATAGATGGATTCCTCCCAGTGCCCCCATGTCTCCCAGTGCCATCATGACCCCCCCCCATGTGTCGATTACTCCAGGTCTCAGTGTTCCTATGTATCAGTGTCTCAGTGCCCCATGTCTCCCAGTGTCCCCTAGTGTTGTGTCCCCAGGTCTCCCAGTGATCCTATGTATCACAGTGTCTCAATGCCCCATGTCTCCCTGTGTCCCCATGTATCCCAGGTCCCCATGTCACTAAGACACTAGGAAGACGGGGAGACCTGGTGACACGGGGAGACCTAGGGACACGGAGACACCAGTGACACTGGGAGACTAGGGGACTCTGGCTGGGACACATGGGGACAATACGAAAATAGAGGACACTTGAAGACATGGGGACACAGACACCAGGGACACAGACACTAGAGACACTGGCTGGGGGACATGGGGACATTGAGACATGGGGGCACTGGGAGACATGGGGACACTGAGACACCAGGGCCACAGACACTAGGGACACTAGCTTGGAGACATGGGGACATTGTGACACTTGAGGCACTGAGAGACATGGAGGCACTAGGAGACATGGGGACAGTGAGACACTGGCAGACTGGGGGCACTGAGAGACTAGGGGTCACTGGGAGACTAGGGGGCACTGAGACACCAGGGACACTAGCTGGGAGACATGGGGACACTGTGACTCAGTGTATGTCTCCTTGCAGCCTTTCCCCACATCCCTTACTTCCCTGAGCTGTAGGCTGTCTCTGCAGGGTGGGAGTTGCTGTCTGGACTCTCTGTAGCTGCACCCCTGCAGATCAGTGAGTATAGATAGGCAGGGAGGGATATGCTGGAACTTCCTATCCCTGCCTGTCTCCACATACAGCGACACCTACTGGCCAGTGCTGGTATTGCATAGTAATCTCTTGTTTATACTGAGAAAAATACCAGCATTTGTATTGCCAGTATCACTGCAATATTGGCACTAGCCAGGCAGCCTCAAATACTGGCTGTGCCAATAAAATAAAAGCCAGGTGGAATCCCTAAGAGTAGTGTGTGAAAAAAAAAAATGTGAATTTTTTTTTTTTAAATCAATGTGCCTATTCCATGGGCCTGGGCCTGGGCCTGGAACTTCAGCTCCATCAGCCCCTATGTTAATCCGGCCCTGTCCCCAAATATATTACTCGTACAATTGACCAAACAGAGGATCACTATTTTTATACAGAAAGATTTACCATTTACATTTCAAAATAAATGGAATGATCAAGAAGGTAGAGTAATTTTTGTAAAGGGCTGTAAAGGGGAACAACAAGCAACGCTAGCGAACATATATGCACCTAATGAAAAACAAAACAACTTTTTTTCAAGGAGAATTAGGATAGAGTAGTGACCACGAGATTTTGCAGCGAGTAGATCATTGGATACTTTGGTCAGTGCCGTTTCCACAGAGTGCTTAGCGCGGAAACCAGACTGAAGCGGGTCTAGCGGAGAGTTGGACTCGAGGAAGTCTGTCAATCTCGCATACACAATTCTTTCATGGATCTTGGATGCAAAAGGCAGTAGCGAGATAGGACGATAGTTGGATGGAGAGTTAGGGTCAAGGTTGGGCTTCTTTAGAATTGGGGTTACAGTTGCATGTTTGAAGGGCAATGGAAATATACCAGAGGAGAGAGAGATTGAGAATTTTAGTGAGAGGTGGAGAAAGAGAAGACGACAGAGTACGGATTAGATGCGAAGAAATTGGATCTAGAGAGCAGGTGGTGGGGCGGGAGGACTGGAGCAGAGCAGAAACCTCTTCCAATGTAGTGGGTGCGAATGAACATAGAACAACAGAGGGAGTGAAGTTAGGGGAAGTATTGTAAGGGGAAGAAGAAAGATGAGAGATCTCTTCTCTGATTGTAGAGATCTTGTCAGTGAAGTGAGTTGCAAAGTCTGATGCAGTCAAGTTAGTAGGTGGAGGAGGAACAGCAGGGCGAAGAAGAGAGTTAAATGTGTGAAATAGTCGTTTGGGTTCACGGGAGAGTGTGGTTATGAGGGTATTGAAGTAATTAACTTTTGTAGAGGAAAGAGCCAAGCTGTATGAGCTCAGCATAAATTTATAGTGGAGAAAGTCAGATGCACAGTGAGACTTTCTCCAACAGCGTTCAGCAGTTCTGGAGCATTTTTGGAGGTATCGAGTGAGCTTGGTGTGCCAGGGTTGTTGTTGGGGGGGCCTGCAGCGTTTAAATGTACAAGGTGCCATGATGTCTAGTTGAGAGGAGAGGGTGGAATTGTAGAAGGAGGTTGCAGAACTAGGACAGGTGAGGTTTGAGATAGGTAAAAGTAGAGTTTGGAGATTAGTGGAGAAATGCTCTAGGTCAAGACATTGGAGGTTTCTGTGAGAGTGATGTAATAAAGGTTCACGGCTATTCTCCAAGGTGTATTATTAAATAAAATATTTTGATGAATAAGTTTGCTTGTGTTTATTTTATGTAGACTACGATTGCAACATTCAAACCTAATGTTTTTAATATTTCTTTGCAGCATTTGGTCTCCATGTTGTAGCTTGCTATGACTGGAGCTTTTGGGTGCCTAGTTGGCATTTAAAGGGACACTATAGACACCCATTGAAGTGGTCTGGGTGCAATTCCCAGATCTCTTAAAACTGGAAAGGTAATTGTTGTAGTTTTTAATAAATTGCAATAATTACCTTCATGGGTCAAATCCATCTCTAGTGGCTGTCTACCAGACATCCACTAAAGGGACTTCTGGGTCGTTAGGCGACTTTTGGTCGCCTAGCTGATGCTGGACGTCCTCATGCTATGCTTTTCTATGGGGCTGTTCTAATGTGAGTGCAAATATTGCAGGTCAGTAACAAGATGAGTTTTTAGCTTTGTTTTCCTGGCACTATAGTGTCCCTTTAAGGTATGAGGGGGAGGAGATGGCTTAAATGTGTTCTTTTTTATTACAGAGGTACTCATCCAGCCATAGGTAATACAGAACACAGGTACTATACTAAGGAAAAATGAATTTACGGTAAGTACAATTTCTAGTTTGTAACCTCTGCCTTAGCCATACCTTCAATAGGTCCTTATTTAGTTAAAACTAAACACTGAATATTGCACCATGGGAGCACAGGCACTAGAACCAATTTAAACCGGCTCTGTCACCCCCTGTAAAATGAATATTTCATAAAGATAAAGTCTCTCCTATATAGGGGCACCTGAAAGGTATGGCATAAACTGCCACAAACCGCACAATGTACACATTTTATCCACCCTCCTGTCTCCATCCTTTTGGGTGCAGGAGAGTGGCTCTCCTGGGGACCCTTGGGATATGGCTGAGGGTGATGGGAGTCTGGGGCTGTTCTAAGCTCTAACTGGGGCCCTGCAGCTGCAGAACCATAACCACTGTGCTCAGTTTGACACGTGACCCCAGAGCCTACATTTCAGCTATGGCGGTGGGAGATCCCCACATATCACGAGGAGGCGGTCAACCAGAGCAGCCAATGCGTTAATACCCCCACTGACATACGGCTACAGTGCCCGCACACTGGATGGGGTGAAAGAACCTCCAGCCAATAGGCAGAGCTGCTGTGAGAGGCTATCCTCCGCTCTCACCCACCAACAACATGGCCGCCAGCGAGCGACATCATGGAGGCGGGCGGTTTCACCTGCGCTATCCGCGTCGCACGATTAGTGACGTCAGAAGCCCCGTCCTCCCCAGAGAGGAAGTGGGCGGGGCGGGATGGTGCCCAGTAAACACAGGGCTGAGTGTAGTGAGCCTGGCCACAGGAAGTGCTGTGTTAATGGCGGCTGGCTCCATAGCCTGAGAACAGGAGGACAGTGAGTGCTATGGAGCCGACCATGGAGCTGGACTACTACCTGGAGCTCAGTGAGCGGCCAGTGCTCTTCGAGAAAGCCACCCATGTCAACAGTGTGTTCTTCGATGAGGCCAATAAGCAGGTGACTCTAACACATTATTACACTGGGCATGGGCTGGGCATGGGGCTCAACACAGTGCCCCCACCCTCTGTATACACAGGGCACAGCAACACAGTGCCCCCACCCTCTGTATACACAGGGCACAGCAACACAGTGCCCCCACCCTCTGTATACACAGGGTACAGCAACACAGTGCCCCCACACTCTGTATACACAGGGCACAGCAACACAGTGCCCTCACACTCTGTATACACAGGGTACAGCAACACAGTGCCCCCACACTCTGTATACACAGGGCACAGCAACACAGTGCCCTCACACTCTGTATACACAGGGTACAGCAACACAGTGCCCCCACACTCTGTATACACAGGGCACAGCAACACAGTGCCCCCACCCTCTGTATACACAGGGCACAGCAACACAGTGCCCCCACCCTCTGTATACACAGGGCACATCAACACAGTGCCCCCACCCTCTGTATACACAGGGCACATCAACACAGTGCCCCCACCCTCTGTATACACAGGGCACAGCAACACAGTGCCCCCACCCTCTGTATACACAGGGCACAGCAACACAGTGCCCCCACCCTCTGTATACACAGGGCACAGCAACACAATGCCCTCACCCTCTGTATACACAGGGAACATCAACACAGTGCCCCCACCCTCTGTATACACAGGGCACAGCAACACAGTGCCCTCACCCTCTGTATATACAGCAACACAATGCCCTCACCCTCTGTATACACAGGGAACATCAACACAGTGCCCCCACCCTCTGTATACACAGGGCACAGCAACACAGTGCCCTCACCCTCTGTATACACAGCAACACAATGCACTCACCCTCTGTATACACAGGGAACATCAACACAGTGCCCCCACCCTCTGTATACACAGGGCACAGCAACACAGTGCCCTCACCCTCTGTATATACAGCAACACAATGCCCTCACCCTCTGTATACACAGGGCACAGCAACACAGTGCCCTCACCCTCTGTATATACAGCAACACAATGCCCTCACCCTCTGTATACACAGGGCACAGCAACACAGTGCCCCCACCCTCTGTATACACAGCAACACAGTGCCCTCACCCTCTGTATATACAGCAACACAATGCCCTCACCCTCTGTATACACAGGGCACAGCAACACAGTGCCCCCACCCTCTGTATATACAGCAACACAGTGCCCCCACCCTCTGTATACACAGGGCACAGCAACACAGTGCCCTCACCCTCTGTATATACAGCAACACAATGCCCTCACCCTCTGTATACACAGGGCACAGCAACACAGTGCCCTCACCCTCTGTATACACAGCAACACAGTGCCCTCACCCTCTGTATATACAGCAACACAATGCCCTCACCCTCTGTATACACAGGGCACAGCAACACAGTGCCCCCACCCTCTGTATATACAGCAACACAGTACCCCCACCCTCTGTATACACAGGGCACAGCAACACAGTGCCCCCACCCTCTGTATACACAGGGCACAGCAACACAGTGCCCTCACCCTCTGTATATACAGCAACACAATGCCCTCACCCTCTGTGTACACAGGGCACATCAACACAGTGCCCCCACCCTCTGTATACACAGGGCACAGCAACACAGTGCCCCCACCCTCTGTATACACAGGGCACAGCAACACAGTGCCCCCACACTCTGTATACACAGGGCACAGCAACACAGTGCCCCCACCCTCTGTATACACAGGGCACAGCAACACAGTGCCCCCACCCTCTGTATACACAGGGCACAGCAACACAGTGCCCCCACCCTCTGTATACACAGGGCACAGCAACACAGTGCCCCCACCCTCTGTGTACACAGGGCACAGGGCCCCCACCCTCTGTGTACACAGGGCACAGGGCCCCCACCCTCTGTGTACACAGGGCACAGGGCCCCCACCCTCTGTGTATACAGGGCACAGGGCCCCCACCCTCTGTGTACACAGGGCACAGGGCCCCCACCCTCTGTGTACACAGGGCACAGGGCCCCCACCCTCTGTGTACACAGGGCACAGGGCCCCCACCCTCTGTGTACACACGGCACAGGGCCCCCACCCTCTGTGTACACAGGGCACAGGGCCCCCACCCTCTGTGTACACGGGGCATGGCCTGGGCAATGAGCAGCACAAAATACAGAGCGTGACTAGGACACATGGCAACACAATGCCCCTACCCTCTGTATACACAGAACATAGCTTGGGCAATGATCAACACAGAGCATGACTCGGGCACATGGCAGTACAATGCACCACCCTTTGTATAAACAGGACACAGAGCAGCATAATTCTCTCACTCTATGTATACATAGGACATGGTCTGGGCACAGAGCGGCATAATGCCTCCACGCTCTGTATACACAGGGCATGGCTATATCCAAACTTTGGTTCTTGCAGCACATTCTCTAACCCTAACTGTAAGAGTAACCCTAACTACTTGCCTTCTTCACAGTATTAAATGTGGGTTCCCAAGGGGTCAGGGAACCTACTTGAAACACGAGATCAAATGTTTCACCATGATGATGGACAGTGCCCGCAAAGTACCACCCTGCAGTCTTTAAACTTCATACATTGCAAAAGAGCAACATGTTCACTAATAACGTTACGTCCTTTGACCCCCCCGTTCATTTATTTATTCAGCTGCATATGAATTCTTTTATTTTTATAAATTTTTCTTTAAAACTGCACAATACATACAGATACATAAACAATATGCAAGTAATGTAGCAGCATGTTTTCAGTTACAACAAACAAGGGCTAAACAAACCAAAATGGTACAAAAAGTAAGATAATACAGCAAAGTAACAGTGGTATAGTGAAGTAATTCTATGATAATCCAAAATCTCTGCTCAAGAGAGCCAACCCTTCCATACAGCCCTCTGTCCATAGATCCCTAAGGGCCCATTTTATATTGAGGTATGCTGCTTCCTGTCAAAATCATTTAGTTACATGTTTCAATATGTGTTCATGTAAAACCTTCTGTGTGAATAGCTATTTCAGATCACTACTGAGAGCTGCTGGGATATACATTGTGTCAAGCCATACATGTAGTTAACCTCTCCCTCTATTACTGATATTTATATTTAAATTCTTTATTTAAGAGGTGGTGCAAACAGATATATTGTAATTTCAGCCCAAACACCACGTAGTAGCACCTATATTCTAATAGAACAGAAAATAAAAAAGCCATATATAATCAAAACATAACATAGGGAAAGGATATTGTGAAATGTGTGTTTACAGGAACATTGGATAAAAAAATGGCCCACGTACACTGCTGGCACCTTTTTATAGGTGCATCTTCCTCTGAAGCCTGAGCTTAAAAATAAGGTTTCCACCGCGAGACTGGTAACACACTTTCTTTGCTACCCCCACACACTACTGACCCTCAAGTTCCACCCACTATGTGGAACTCATACCTTCTTAAATGCCCTCATTGTGTTTCCATGTATTATAGCCCTGAACTTGTCCATAAGAGAATTCTCTTGCACTTTTGCTTTAACTTCTCATATTCATATCATATTGGGGGCTTCTTCAATCACCCTGCTGCCAAAGGTTAAGGTTAAACTATTGAAAATTTTCTGGGAGCATGCTGGCAGCTTCTCCACTGATCTAGACAAGAGGAACTCCCACAGGTCCAGGTTGAATGGCTGTTTAGAGACTCTGGTCAGGGGCACTTGCACTCTCTTCCAAAAGGGTACTGTTGGATTACACTACCACCACAAATGAGTATATGCACCCTTATATCCACACTGTTGCCAATACAGATCTGTGGTGATTTTCACCATTCTACACCGCCTTACATGAGTAGTATACCACCTAATGACTTATTTGTCTGGTTGGTTCCTTGTTTAACATAAGCTAGTTCTCCCCACACTTTATACCCATAGCAAATATTATTATACAGTAGTGATATTAGTCCCTTCTGACCCTTTTCCTACTCGCATAGATGTTCAAAGAAAGTAGGACTCTGTTTCATGGCTTCATAGACACTGTGCCTCTGGGCATAATCCTTTACCTAAAGAAGTCTTTAGATGGTAGTGTTACTTTGGGAGTATGTTAATCGAAAGTGACGAAGAAAGAGTTACAGTAGAGATGCTTATACCTCTGTAGTCCCACTCTCTCTAATCCAGCAAAATCTCTGGCCTCCAAGCCTTGAGGGCATTCTCAATACTAAGTCATCTAGTCTGACCAGACAAATCACTCTAACTCATGGTATGAAAGCAGAACAAGCTAAGCATACCATTCATTTTGTTGGCTTTTACTCTAGATTCAAAATGTGTTAACGGTTCTATCAGCGGCATAAGGGAACTCGTCTGGTCTGTGAGAGTGATCAGTATATCATCTGCATAAGTCAAGACCATATAATAGGAGGTAGCCACTGGAATTCCCATAATAGTGGGGTGTCTTCTTCTTAGATGGAGTAGGGGCTCAAGCAAACAGGGCAAACTTTAAAAATACATGTTTCTAATGTTGGATTGCTCCTTTTTAAAGAATGTTTTGCAAAATGCAGGCTAAAATAGTGGAGCTGGGGAAGAAAGTGTCTTATAGCCAAGCTGGAGTGGACTAAATCTGCGGAATCTTGAGTGACCACGAGTTGCTGTTTAAAAAATTTAAACCTAAAGTGGTATATAACAGCAACATTGTCTGAGTACACACACCGCTTTATGTAATATCCTGCCATGTGAATTAAATTAAAAATGAATACCATAATCTGCATGGGAATAAATCATGCAGCCTGGGTTGAAACGGACAATTGCTATTACTCTGCATGTTTTCAATGGCGTGAACTGTATTAAAACAGAAAAGTATCAGTTTCATGTCCTTCATCAAAAATATTTTTTTAACAGTAGATACATCTTCTACATCAAAAATATAATTTTAGGCTCCCTAAACATGCTGCAATTTTATCAAGTGACCCCAGTTCATGACTGCCATAGAGTTTTCAGTTGTGTACAAATTTCAGATTTTATGTATGGTGATAATGCACTATTCACACAATAAAATAGTATTTTTTTGTACTGCTGTTGACCACTTCACTGGGTACCTGTGATGCACTTATTAGTGTGTGTGTTTTTTACTTTATAATTATTTACTAGTGTGTGTGTGTGTGTTCACAGGTATTTGCAGTGCGGTCTGGTGGAGCCACTGGAGTTGTTGTTAAAGGTCCAGAAGATAGAAGTCCAATCTCTTTTCGGTAATATTACTTATTACTCGTGGAAGTATGTTGAATACAGCTTGAGATGTAAAGCCAATATCTTCCATACACCCAAATTATTTTTACAATTTTTTTTTTTTTTTTTAAGTACTCCATTGTTAACGTGTGCTCTTGTTTGTTGTATTTCTCTTATAAGGATGGAAGACAAAGGCGAAGTAAAATGTATTAAGTTTTCTTTGGAAAATAGAATTCTGGCTGTACAGAGAACAGTTAAAAGAGTGGTGAGTACTCTTTTTCATGCAATTAATCAGGCTTTTCCTGTGCATATGACTGCAATGTGTCAGAAGGTTTCCTACCATTTCATATGTTTCAGATAAACACAATTGAAATATTTTAGAATATAACTGTCGATTCTTTGAAAATAACAGTTCATCACTTGCTTTCCCCAGTAAATATCACCAAAAACCTTTTTCTAGTGTAAGGAGTGCAGCATCAATATGTATAAAACACTGTGTCCAAGGCAAAGTCATCTGGGCGCACACTGACATTTCTGGGTTGTTTTATTAATTTAAGTAGTATGCTTTGGATGTGCCAAAACTGCCAAGCAACTGCAAACAATAAAAATCTGTTAAAAAAAAACCAGCACATCCCTTTTAACAGTTTGTTGGCTGTCAAGATGTAGTAAAACCCCACATGTGAAGCTCTCAGCCAATGAATGACTGGCGTGATTGACATCTGTCTGCTCCAAGTGTGCTGCATGTTAAAGACCATATTGGACCCTTGGTGTCTATTAACAAATTGAGAGGTCTTAACATATCTCAATGGTGGGTAATCATACTGCAGGACAAATCGATAAATCTTACAGGATGTGTTTTTTTTTTTTTGCTGAGATGGATTTGTGACACACGTGTATATTTTATGGATTCTTGATGTGTAGTAATTTTGTGCTTCTTCCTAACATCATTTGTTTGTTTTGCCAATATTTAACCCCATTACTACTGAATCTTTTCTAAGCCCAACGGTATTCATGCTTTGAAATTATGTTTAACCACTTGCATGCAAAACAATCAGATGCCCAGATTGCAGTATTGAAACACTCAGAATACACCATGGCAAATGTCTTTGAGTGCACTTTATGTAACTTATGGGGGAAGATATCGTTCTGTAATTCACATAAAGTACACTCACCGACCTTAGTTTTATGGTTTGTATCATTCTCATTTAAATAAAAATAAATTTTATATATATTATACTTAATCCACTTTAAATATTTAAAATGATGCTAAACATTTTGACTTCCCCCACTTTGTGGCCTTCTCCTTTCATGCACAGACAATATTAACTATTTATAAGAACAAATGCTAAAACGAACAGGACATGTATCCATTTTTATTCTTTTCTTTCCTTTTGTCTTTCATATTTCTTTTCACGCTCGTTTTTTTTTTTTTCTTTTCTCATTCTGTCTTTGATCCTGTCGACTATAAAGTTCTACGTTTTATAATTGACAAAGGGATTTGCTCTGATACAGGTTGATTGCATTGTTACAGTTGGTACTCCCAATTCCTTAATATATCTTTATTTGTAAGAAAATATCATGTGATTATTTCAGAATGTTAACAGTGTATTTCCACTGCCTTATGTAGATATTACATTTTAGAAAAAAAGTCTACTAAAAGTAGAAAGGGGAAAAAAAAAATAGGCAACTTTTTTTTTTTTTTTACTCTGATCTTGCTCACCAAGAGCAAATATGTGTGCGATTAGATGTTAGTCCATCTGCACTCTCCCAAACAAGCAGAACTCTATTGCACTCTCTAAGAACTGCAGCTTATTTATTTAGTCTTGTATATTTCGTGCCTTCATTTTTCTGTTTTGTATTTCCTAGGACTTCATCAACTTAATTCAAGATTATTCACAGTTAGAATATTCACAGGAATGCAAGGTAGGCTTGTTGTGTAATATGATTTAAAGCAAAAGGGGTCACAATGCACAATCCAGATATTTCTGCCTGCTAGCAAATGAATAAAATAAATTTTATTTTCCTCTGGTTCCTCCCCCAACTTCAGACATTGCGTGTAGTAGGAAAAATTATTGGTATGCATTTTTTTGTGTGTACATAAACAACATACCTATGATATGCTTCCAGCAGATTACACGTGTAGTACGCCCATATTATCTTTCCTCTGAGATAAAGGATTGAAATACTGTGCATGTATTGTATGATACAAGTATGCATGGGCAGTGCTTTTCACACTGGCACATTTTTTTACGCCAATTGTATGAACTACATCCAAGCCATGGGCTTTTATATTTCACCTTTCCAAGTCTCTTGATTGGATCAAAGCCAGAACCATGCTGACTAACCCTAAGGGCAAAACTGTGTTATTTATGACTTTGCATGGGTCCCTTATATGTGTGTGTATGTATGTATGTATGTGTGTGTATATATATATATATATATATTATACACACACACACACACACACACACACACACACACACACACACACACACTGTGTAGATTGTTAGAATTTCTGCCTGGTTATGCCAACCCATATTTATTACTGTTTTAATGCACTCCCCACAGGCTGTATGTACTCCTTGTTATAACTTATTTTGTGTTGATAGCTAACATGTTGTAACAGAAACCTACTGTGTGTATATAACACAACTAAATCCACTCTTGCTAGCTTGTATTTATTTATATTTTCACAGACCAAAAATGCACAGATAATGGGATTTTGCTGGACGAGTTCTACTGAAATAGTCTTTATAACAGATCAAGGAATTGAATTTTATCAGGTAGAAGACCTACTAATATTGTTTACATTGTATGTTTTTTAATAGAGAGACAAATCTGTAAATGTCCCAGTAAGGTCAGCTCACTCTTTTAACTATCTTAGGTTTTTCTTTTAAACTCCACTGCCCAAATACAAAAAACAAATATCACCTTTTTTTTTTTAAATAGATATACCCCAAATCAAAACTTGCAAAACCCTAATTTCTCTTGTTTGTAGACTTTACAAGCCCTCCTCTTCTGACACCTCCCAAGCTTGTGGCTGTCCAATCACAGACTTCCCAATGCAGCTCATTGAGCATTATTTCCAAGTCAGGTGCTCTGAGCAATTGCTGACTTTTGAGTTGGCTTCACTGAGCTAACCAAAGTAGGAAGTAACTTGACCAGTTGTCTGCTTGAAGGTCAAGGGGATATAACCAGGTTAATTCATAAAAGTATCAATTTCTATTAAAATCTGCACTTTTTTGCAAGATTTGAACAAATTGACATATTCTTCACACACAGTTTTTCAGCAATCTAAAGTGATTTAGGGGTGTGGAGTGTCCCTTTAAATTACTATTTTATAAACTCTGTGAGTTCTGTGCAAAAAAATTTCTGTCATCTGCGTGCACTGTTTATTATTGTGCCCAATTGGGTGTGATAAAGCTAAAGTAGGATTATGGAGAAAAGTTATAATAACCCTTTTAATGAGTTTTAACATGAAAAGTGCAAACCACCTGCCCATATGGATAATCTAATATTATCTGTTCCATATAGTGATGTGGTTACTAAGAATTCATTTGAAATATAGAACTCTGTAATGTTATGGTCACCCAATGATTCCAACTAGGCTTTCCAGACTGAGTTTAATAATGCTTTGCTCTTTCCCAGGTACTGCCTGAGAAGCGGACATTAAAGCTCTTGAAGAGCCAGAGTATCACCGTTAATTGGTACATGTATTGTCCAGAGAGCAGTGTTATCCTGCTGTCCACTGCCAACCACTGCAATGTGCTTCAGCCTTTCTACTTCAGGGTGAGACTAAATCCTAACAGCTTTCATTAGAAGAGACTGCATTAGTAGTGCATAGAAAGTCTTCTTCGTGTTTTCATTTATTTTTCCTTTTAAATTGTGTCCCCCCCTTTTTTTATAATTTTTTTTTTTTTTAATCAGCTGAGACGTAAACTATACAACTATAATGGTTCATGCTCATGTGGCTCAAACCATTTTATATTGGCTATTCATTGTAAAAACCGGGAAGCATATCAAGAAATGTAACTGTGACTAGGTAGAGAAATTATAACTGAAAGAGCTTGTCTGGTTTCTATTGTGACGCCTAAGGATCTCCACTTTGAATGATGCTGGAAGAGTCTTCAGTTTATCATGCTGCTGGGGGTAGAATTTTTCTATTTTATTTTTTAAAGCTCCAACTTGCTTACCTCTTGTACACCATGATTAAAATGATTGTTTAAATGGGTGCTCTAAACTACTAGCTCTCCTTCATTTCTGTTGTACTGCAGGGCCACAATTGTGCACTTGAGAATAATAGATGTGATTTTAGGTTTTTTTTCATAACAGAATGGAACAATGTCAAAGATGACGAAATTTGAAATTGAATTGCCAGTTTCAACAGGGAAGACCATTAAGATTTCTGAAAGAGACATAGCAATGTCAACAATGTAAGTGTTATGAGTAAAGCGCAAAGAATAATAGGGGTCAAGGAGTTGAAGACCCAAATGAGAAAAATCTGTGCATGGAACCTGAATTTACTTACTTGACACATATATATATATATACACATACACACACACCTTGACACATAGTGTGCATCTGTGTGTCAAGGTGTGTGTATCTGTGTGTCAAGGTGTGTGTATCTGTGCCAGTTTGTGTTTGTGTGTATGTATATGTATCATATGCACATGCACAGTGGACCACAGACACACACACCTTACCACACAGATACACCCACTCAGATACCCACATCCTGACTCACAAATACACACACTCAGATACACAGTGACATACACCCACTTGCACCCGCACATACACCCACTCAGATACACACAGTGACATACACACACTTGCACCCGCACATACACACACTCAGATACACACAGTGCCATATACACTCACTCGTACACACATACACACACAGTGTCATATACACTCACTCATACACACCTACACACACACACACAGTGTCATATACACTCACTCATACACACACACACACACACACACACACACATAGATACATACACAAACCTTGACACACTGATACACTCAGACACATACTTTTTTACACTCTCACTGACAAACACACATACACTCTCACTGACAAGCACACATATACAATTTGACAGACATCCATACAATTTAATATTTAAAAAAAAAAAAAATTACTCCACCCAGCCCCCCCACCTTTAGGAGTGCTGGCATTTAGTCTCTGGGCTGAGCGTGCAGGATCAGGGGGTCAAGTGGGGCGGCTGGGCTGAGCATGAGTGATCTCCCTGCTCAGCTCCTTTGTGCGCCTTTTAGTGATGCCGGAGCTAGAGTGACGTCATATTTTGCCTCCAACATCAGTGCTGTGCGCGCAAGGGACCCTAGGGTTCCACAGAACACCAATTGGGAAATGCTGGTCTAAACTATTGTTAATTTACACTGAAATTAATTTAGCTCTATTTGTCTATTTTTATTTTTTTCTCCCATAGTAACTGAAAGAAAAGTTGTTGGTTTTTTTTTATATATTTTTTTTTTCTCAATTCATAGATATGGTCAGCTTTATGTTCTTTTTCTGAGACATCATGCAAAGTCCTCAAGCAGTGCAGGAGCAGAGGTTGTGATGTACCATTTATCTCGGTAAGCAATCACTTTTTTTTTTTTTTCTAAAAGGGAGACATAACAATGGAGCAAGGAGGACAGATGAGGGTAAGGAAATTGTTTGTTACTATGTGGGTCCAGTAAAAAGCCTTTTAAGGTAGCTGGATTTAACTTGGTGACCCAACAGCATAGATGATTGGTCCACTAATAGGATATAGAGAAGATTGAGGGTTTGCATGGAGGAGAAGGTGTAGTAGTTGAAGTGCAGGAGATGGGTAAAATGTGCTAAGAAGATAAACATTCTAAACTGATCTTTTTTCAAAGCACAGAGTGAAGTAGTGGGAGTTATGTATGTGACAATACTATTAAAAAAGAATCATTAGACCTGTCCATGTAAGAATCTGTTTAGCATGTAAGCAGAATAAGGGAAGTGGAGATTTCTCAGTAAAATGGTTGACGTGAGATGAGGCATGTTGGAATGTGGGTTCAGATAAAGCCAACTATTTTGATTGTCATTAAACTCAGTGTCTGTGCTCTGCAAGTGCATGAACCTTCACTGGCACAGTCATTGCAAGATGATGCGCGTGATGTTAAACAGAAAAATTTACATTTTTAAAAGATTTTATTCACAATTATATTTGTTTTTGTAGCTGCCACAGAAGTAGCTGTTTTCCATTAGCTAAAGTGTGGTTTGTTTGTTTGTTTTATACCATTCTTACCTGAGCACCAATTTGGGAAAAACTAAAATCTGGTTAATACCGCTTACATTTTAACCTGCACTTTTAATTGCATTTTTATTTCTTTTTCATCTTTGCCTCTTGCTTACCAGGGAGGGTTCCCCAAAGAAAATGCACATCTTGAAACTGAATCGGACTGGAAAATTTGCTCTGAATGTTGTGGATAATTTGGTCGTCGTCCATCACCAAGATACAGAGGTGGGATGCGCCATTAAAAAGCTGCATTATTTAAGGATTCCTAACAAGCATGCAGGAGAAATAAACCTTTTGTTTTTCAGCAGTAAGTTTTTCTTCTCCTTCCTTAACTTTTTATGTTTGTACATTTCAGACATCTGTTATCTTTGACATCCGGTTACGGGGTGACAGTGACGGCACCATTACATTGCACCAACCTGTGCTTCCTCCTCGCTCTATACACCCGTACCAGATTCCAGTGGCAGGTATGTGTTTGTCATATCAGAAGGCAACATCCCTCTCTACAGTTACTGTACAGTAGAATGCAAATTATCAATTCAAAAGTTTTAAAAGAAAGCATGATTGTTTAGTACTGTTTTCTGGGAAGCTCTGAAGGGCCCAAAATATTGTGTGGTGTATTTTAATTTTTTAATTTTTTTTTTACAAACCACTCAGACAGTTTGACATATAGTGCATTGCATGTCTTTAAGTTCTTCTGGTAATGCTAAGCCACTGTACTCTACAGATCTACTGCAACACTGTAGGTATTAATTTGTTTCTGTCAGTTTGTCTGAATCCAATTCCTTTTAATTCACACCCGAACAAATTGATTCACCCTGGGGTTTACCTGTGGAGTCTTACTCCATAACGAAGACTCCACAGGTAAATCCCAGATCCATCCATTTGTTTGGATGTTTGGGTTGAAAGGAATACTAAGAAGGATGATTATGTATAAAAATGTTACAAAACAAACATTCTTGTAATGTATGAAGAACCAAACCAGGTAAATGTGTACCTTGCCCAGTTAAGCTATTATTCCTGGACCTGATCAGGACTCCTCTTTATGCTGAAGTGTCAGTATGAAAACCACATTCGGATAATAAAGATAATTTTGACACATTAATTTCCCTGTCAAAGGTTGAGTCTCCAGAAAATGCTATGAACAGCAATAAGGAATTGTGCACCTTGTTTGGAGTTCTGAGTAGTGTTGTGCTTTATTCTCCTAAGAAGCACAATTTGGAAATAATATTGTAATGTATTCAATCCTGCAGGTCCTTCAGCTGTGGCCGGACAAGTTCCTGTTCCCTGCAAACTCTGTATCCTTTTGTCTGGATATGCATACAATAAAATGTAGAAAACAATTGTTAGATTGAGGCAGAAATTAAGCGATAATTTAATATATAAAAATTGTCTTAAAGGCAGATTTGATCCTTGTATGCGTTCTATTTTACATTTTAATTTTGGCTGTGATATAATCAAAAATAAGAAACATTTGCACAAACTTACAGGTTCCTTGTGTGAAACCGGTTTGCTTGATTTCTGACCGTCTGCTAGTAAATACTGGGTATTGTGACCAAACGTCAGTTGAATTTCTATTTATTTTTTGTAAACAAGTTCTTTTTCTTCCATAACAACCAAGTAGAAATTTTTGTTTTTGTTTTGTTTCCTCCGTGATAGAATGCTGTAAAATAAATGTTGTGGTTTACGGGTTTGTCAGACCCTGCTCTCATCTTGACATTAATGGCTCAACAAACAAAATATTCAGTGTTCAATGCTTTTTGAAAGTATTCACTCAATGTGTTATCCTCTCTCTAACAATGTTCTAACACACTGGCTAGCACTCTAGTTACCAGTAGAGTTCATATCTAGGCTAATACCTATTGTCTGCATTGCACCAGACTATGGGATTCCTACAGTGTTTTCCTTAACTACCAGATTCCTCCTCTTGGATTGTCTTTCAACCGGACATTATAATTAGCGCCAGTGAAGGTAATTGCATTATGGCTGTTTCCCTGTGAAAGTATTTCAATTTATTATTCTGTGTGTGTATTATTTTCTTTCCTTCTTCTATTGACATTATATTGGCAAATTATGCAGTCCTACCAGTGGTTTAGTATAGTAATGCCTTGTGCCATGTCCACAGGATATCTCTGGTATCTGCGCGTCAAACTTCAACCGATAGTCCATCTGCTTGCTGACAAAGGACGATTGATGGATTTCCTACTGCAGCGCAAAGACTGTAAATCTGTCATATTATCAGTGTGTTCTCAAAGTAAGTTAGCTCTTTGCTTGCATTCATTCTTCTTTGAATGTATTTAATGGATGATAGTGTTTGATTCATGGGCTGAGCATATTTTTGGTACATTATACCGACAATGTGACATGTTTCCTGTTTCTTAGTGCTAACAGAAGCAGATAGGGCGCCGCTGCCTGAAATCTCTACAGTGTTTGATAAACTCAACAGTGAATATAAAAAGTATTTAGATGCTGACAACAGTTACACAATGGTAAGTTGAATAATAGTGTCGTAATTAGGATTCAGTGTATGAATGCGCAGGTCATATTATTTTCGATATGCAGATTTGTTTATCCGCAGCTTTATTGGTATTGTAACAAATTACGTTGGTGAACTTGCAGCTGAACCCCTTTAACTCCCCACCCCCTTCTCCTTTCTCTTACTACCATTATCTTTTTATAGGTGGCTTCCTATTAACGTCTCTTCTACCTCTTCTCCCCCCATCATGAAATCTTTTAGGTTTTTTCACATTTCAGTGTTGTTATGACACTGTAGTGTGTCTTTATTCTTTCTTTAAATAGTGGATCTTATGTTTTTGTCTGCTTGCCTTATTTACTGTTAACTAAGATGACTTACTAATATTTTAAGATTTAAAAACTAATTCGGAAAGCCTTGAACAGCTTCAATTGTTTAAACCAACTAAGACCAAAAAATATACTCTTTAGCTATTGTAGATGACACTCACATTTAATCTTTGCCAGCTTTCAGACTGGCAAAGCATTATGGGAGTTGCTCAGGAGTAGCCTGGGATCTACATTTTGGGCTTTACCTTTTCAGTGTCTTTCATTGATTCAAGCCACATCATCCTTTCTTGGTGTTCAGCAAGTTCTTGGGAGGGGAACTGTTAGCACTTTTGGGAAGTGTTAGTGTGAAGATTCCATTCATCAAAAGGGAAGATGAATAATTCATTTGCAGTATTTTTAAAGGTTATGAAAAGTACAGGAGAGCTGTGAATAATTGCTTTTGACTATATTAGTCCTTTGAAAGCACTTTAACTACGTTTACCTAAAATGAGAAATAGGTCACGTGACAATGAAGCTGCTTTAAAACCTGGCTTAGTTTTGTTTATGATGTAAGGCTCATCAAATCGCTTTTTCTGTGATTCAGGCTGTTGAATCGAGCCAGGGAAGAAGCAACGCTCTCCTAAAAAGGCCAGTGCGTGGCCAAGCTGTCATAGACCAGTCTGATATGTACACCCATGTCTTATCAGTCTTTACAGACTTGAAGGTATGTAGACTAATTTGTATCAATTTAAAAAAAAAAAATAAATCTTTATACAAACAAAATGGGGGAAAAATTTGTATAATTCCGTGTCTTACTGGAAACACAATTCTTAATTAATTGTTTTATTTATTTTGTGTAATGCATATTTATATCACCTGAAAATAGGTCTTACTACTTATATTTGGCACATATCCAGATCTAAAATTCTATGTATTCGATAAGGGGTTCCCAGTCCTAAAGTATCCCCCACCAGTCCAGGATTTAGAGATTACTCTGTTGTGTCTAAAGTGTGTGTTTTTTATTTTTAAATTTTTCTCCTTCTTCTGAAAACACCTTGGACATAACTGGGTAAGCCCTGAATCCTGGACTGGTAGTGGGCACTTGACGACTGGGTTGGGAACCACTGTATTAGATGATCAGAATTCCAAACGTAATCTAATTTCTGAAAATGCAGTGACATGGGTGTGACAAAACCTAAAACAAATTCCAGTAAATAAAATGTGCTTCCAAAACCTATACTTCATTAAAAGGAGTAAAATCTCCTAGATCTGCTGGCCCCGGTTACTTACTCAGCTGTTCCTGTTAGCCTATTCCCCCAGAGGAAACTGCAGGGAGAACTTGCTCTGCAATAAATCATGCTATCATGTTGCCAGGCTTATTCCCTTTTGTGGGATTTATTTTTCTGAATCTGCAGCTATTTTAAAATTATTCTGAGGGCAGTTGTCGACACACACATTTAAATGATTAATCACTTAGGTTTAATCTTATTTGTTCACTTTCAATAAAACCTATTTTATAAAAATCTTGCTGGTACCTTCTAAAGCTTCATTTTACAGTCCTGTTAACATGCATACATTTGATTATGAAATCCTTCTGGCATCAGGGGGCACGGCTAGGGAGGCAGGCTTATGGTGCAGCATTCTGAAAAACATTTACTTGTATTAGTACCACTTATACCAGGCATAGGCAACCTTCAGCACTCCAGATGTTTTGGACTACACCTTCCATGATGCTTTGCCAGCATTATGGGTGTAAGAGCATTATTGGGGATGTAGTCCACAACATCTGGAATGCCGAAAGTTGCCTATACCTGACTTACACCAAAGGAGAACAGTGAGGCCAGACTTCTCTCAGAAAACATTGCTTAAATCACCAGAGTTTGAAGTTTCATAAATAACATTCTCCATTCCCGACAGACCTGAATGTGGGCTCCTGTTCCTCCGTCCTGAGTTTGTCCCCTTGTGTCACTCAACTGGGAATGGTTGCTAAATGTTTCCAATCAGTGTGAGAGCCTCACTTGCTGTGTTACCTCAGGGTATTATTCCCATGCTCAGAATACTTGTTCTCACTTTATATGGACACTGCATTCCTGTGACCTATTCTGGAGAAGCAGCAGCTTGGTGAAATTTAGAAATGCATAACCTTATTTTCATTTTTCTTGAAATGCAAATAAAAGGAGGTAAACTGCAGATTGCAATGTCCCTTTACTCCTTTATTTTTTCTTATTATTTTTATTGGATTTTGGGGATTAGATAATACAAAATGTTGGGTTTTTTTAGACACAAAAATCTACAGTACTTCAAATGATTTCAAAAACCTTTATGTAGGGATCGACCGATTATCGGTCTGGCCGATATTATCGGCCGATATTTGGTATTTTCGGCAATATCAGTATCGGCCAATTCAGATACCGATATTGCCGATAATATATAACAGGACCGCCGAGCCCATTACAAGCCCGGCGGTCCTGTGGGGGCCAGCAGCAAGCGCTGACTTACCTTGCAAGCAGCTCCAGCAGCTCCCTGTCTAAATCTCGCGAGACCCGCGGCCGCAGAGCATTGCCACGGGTTACCATGGCAACGCTCCGCGCGGCACTAAGAGCCGTGAGATTTACACAGGGAGCTGCTGGAGCTGCTTGCAAGGTAAGTCAGTGCTTGCTGCTGCTGAGCCACCACTGTACTTAACAAGCCACTGGACCACCAGGGAATACTATATCCCCCTCCCTGGTAAGAAGCAGGGAGGGGGGACTAAACAAAAAAAAAAAACCATTTAAATATTAAAAAAAATATTAAAATAAAAAATTACACAAATTACATCACTACACAAACACACACACACACACTGCACACATACTGCATTACATACACACTACACAGACACACTGCATTACATACACACACTACACAGACACACAGACACACACACTACACAGACACACACACCACACAAACACACACTGCACACATACTGCATTACATACACACACACTGCATTACATACACACTACACAAACACACACACTACACAAACACACACAAAAACACTGCATTATACACACACTACATTCATTATACACACACTACACAAACACACACTCTGCATCCACTACACACACACTACACAAACACACACAGTTCCCCTGTCTAAACACACTTCATCCACTACATGTGGCATGTACATTTTGTGCATTTACCTTTCGAATTAGTTTATTTATTCAAAATAGTAAATGTACAGAATATCGGCAAGATATCGGCTATCGGCCTGAAAGTTTGCAGATTATCGGTATCGGTATCGGCTCTAAAAAATCAATATCGGTCGATCCCTACCTTTATGCTATGTGCTGTCCTTCACACACCAATATCAGTGTACTTGTCATACTATTAGATATGACAAGTGGCTTGTCATACTATTGGATATGACAAGCTTGGAGTAGAGCTGAACAAAACACCCTATAACTGATCCTGGCCATGGTATTGTCACACTAGCATTTTCATATTCTCTTATTACTAGTACCAGCTGGTGATTTATCAACAGCACCCACAAAAGAGGTGGGATTTCTGGGCTGTGGGTTTCATTTCCCACTGTCTTCCTCACAGCAGCTGGAGACAGGATCTTCTCTAAGATTGCAGTTTTTTTTGTTGGTCTTGAACAGTAGCTTTTAAACTGACTGTAGCAGCCCCATACACTGATAACATACTTCATACCTGTAACATGGACAAATTGTCCACATGAATTGGTGATTGCCATCCGAAACAAGACGCAAAGAAGCCTTTTCATACTTGCACTTCTGAGTTCACAAACCAGTGAAACCTCTATTTTTCAACCATAAATGAAATCCTGAATATCTCCCACCTCCGAGAATCTGGTCACCTCCTAAATCGTGTTAAGGAATGTATGGTCTTGAATCTTGCATGAAGACTGCACTCAGAAAATGTATAAAATGATAAACACCTTTGGTGCATCGATGAACCAGAGATGGCTTGCCTCTTCTATATCAGTAAAGTAGAAAGGAGTGTGTCTGTATTGAAGGAGCTGTTTAGTTAAGGAATGTCTTCATAATGTTGAGTGTTGCACTGGCACTTTGTTTAGACAATGCTCCTGTTACACATACAATAGATTGTTGCAATAATTTTGCTATTGTACTTGATGCTTTTATGAATTGTTAATGCATGTCATATAATAACTTATCTTAACGTCCAGGAGGCACCACACAAGTTCATCATATCTGTTCTGATGGAGTATATCCGTTCCTTGAACCAGTTCCAGATACCAGTGCAGGTAATGGCCATATATTTTTTTCCTCTGTGTAGCAGTCTACATTTTATAGCTAAAGATTCCATAACCTCTTTTCTTTAAACTATGGCAACAATTAAAAGGGACACACCCGGCTGATGCTGACCCATTCATATAAAGTGCAATACGTACAAAGATTTATCCATTTTAATCAACATGTTTCTAGCTCTTATAAGATTACCTCAAAGTGGGTAAAACAGATTTACAAAACTGTTGCATTGTTATGCCTGTGGTTTACGATGTCACCCTTTGTACAGTACTAAGGAATCTGATGGCGCTGTATAAAATAATAGTTAAGGAACAGGCTACATAAAAGCAATATGTGGGAGGTCACTGGCTCCATTTCTAACTAGAGTTTCTCTGCTAAAATGCTGTAGTTGGTAACTGAGCGTTTGAAAGCAGTAATTGCTTGTTGACTTCTGACATCAAGCCTGGTTGGTATTAAAAGCAGTCGGCGTCAGCCCAGCATACCTTTGCAGAATTTATTTTCTATTTGAGCTTGCATATTAAATACTTACTCCATTTGTTACTAAGTAGCCCCCACTCATGCTGCTTGGCACAAGGGTCCCTTATTGTTAAACTGAGTGACTACAATATTATGTATCTTCCCTTTTTAGCATTACCTCTATGAACTGGTCATCAAAACACTAGTGCAGCATAATCTGTTTTATATGCTTCATCAGTTCCTGCAATACCATGTGCTCAGCGACTCCAAGCCTCTGGTATGTATACAGACCAGAATCGGAAACCGTTGTCATTGCTTAATGTTCCATACACTGCAGACAGTTTACTAATGTTATTACTTCTATTGATACAGCAGCAGTATGGCTAAAAATTCTAACCCTTATCCCAATCTACAAATTGTGCATTAGCTGTGCTTGTTTTAACTGAAAATAAACTGCCCTGCATAAGCATGTTTCTATATTTTGAGAAACCTATGTAGTTTGCCAAGTATTGACTTCAAGCAGGTTTATGGTCCACCATTCTGAGAACCTGTCTATACAGGCCTAATATAGCAAAGTCTAAACTTTAAGGGGGAAGAGAAGTAAATCTTTGCGATGAGAAACATTTTCATATTTTGCTTGCAGGCTTGCCTCCTGTTATCCTTGGAGAGTGTATACCCCCCAGCACATCAGCTGTCGCTTGACATGCTAAAGGTAAAGAAAAGTACAAACATTGGTGCATGTATTTAAAAACTTTAACTGGTTCCTTTAAGTTCAGAATTGAAGGGGCTATAGGATTTGGTGTTTAGTAATCATGGCTACTTGTGTCACTTTATGAAATTACAAATCGCTGAGTTTCCTGTGGAAAAACTCCTGGGTCTGGCCAAGCAAAAGCCTCCACGTTGCACTGATTGTGGGCTACTTCCTCAAGCTGTGAAACAGAAAAATATTCATTTCTTAGTTCCCACTTCTGTTTATTTATTTTACTCATAGAAACCCAAGGTACAAGCGTGTCTCCGCCCAAAAAGCCCTTTCATTTAGAGGGAAAGTGATAATTAACCAAAACTGTTTTATATACACCTACAAATCCTTGCTGCACTAAAGTTATGGCAGTTTTGTTCTAAGAATCTCTGGTAATGTAAACCATCTGTTTAGACCTCCTTACCACTACTCCATTAGGAGGGTAGAGGCCAATATTTATACAAGTACTTTGCATGTGCCCCCCACCCCACCCTGAAAAGAGCAAGAACACTTTGTGGACATAGTTTTCTATATAGCCTACAAAATGTTAATGAGAATGAATGCTGCACCATAGGGTTGACTAGTAAAACTATTTCTATTCTGTAGATTCTGCAAATTTAGAGCTATTCAGACTTGACCATTAAGTGGCCCTGGAAATACTGTGTAGTCAGTTACATGGTATCTACTTGTGTCACCATGCTAGTCCAATCCTTATATCCCTTGATACTGTAGCAAGTAGAATATCCTACTCTTACTCCTTTAAGATCAGATAAGTTCCAAACATTCTTTAAAAAGACACTCCAGACCCATGAAGCACTTTAGCTTGCTGAAGTTCTTTGTGTGAAGAGTGTCTCTTTGAAAAATTAAAAAGTGAAGATTTCAATTGAAATTTGGCACTTTTAGGAATTAATCTTGTCATACACCATGGCTTGTAAGCAGACAGCAGGTCCTGTTATGATCTGATTTGCTTGATCAGTGGAGCTAGACTTAATAAGCAGGCAATTACCTGGAGCACCTACCTAGAAAGTCTGGGCTGAAGGGGAGGGAGAAGGCTTGCAAAGGCTACAGGCAAGATATGAATTTTTAGGTTTATCCCCACTAGAAAAATGCATCAAATTAATGTTTTCATTTAGAGTATAACTACTAAATAATGATTTATTTTTTTGGTCCTTGTACCAGCACCATTTTATTATTGAGTTACAAAATAGATCACCATTTTCATTTCCTTCGCAGAGGCTCTCCACGGCCAATGATGAGATCATAGAGGTTCTCTTGTCCAAACACCAAGTCCTGGCTGCTATGAGGTTTATACGGGGCATTGGAGGACATGACAATGCGTCGGCACGCAAGTTCCTTGATGCTGCTAAGCAGGCAAATGATGATACACTGTTCTATACAGTCTTCCGTTTCTTTGAACAACGCAACCAGCGTCTGCGTGGAAACCCTAACTTTACCCCAGGTATAAAGAATGTGGATAAATCCTAATTTATGAAACCCTGGGTTCTGTTGTATGCATCAGTTTTCTCAAAAGGTTTATGGTAGATCTGATACAGGAACCATATTGGGACTTGATAAAATTAACATTACATTTATTGGAGATGGTGGAAACACAGTTATGTTTAAACCCAAATAACTACCCAAGTTTATTAATGTGGTCTGAAATTTGCAAGTCACAAATCTATTTATTGAATAACCCTCATTTTCTATTGAGATGAACATGCCTGACCAATATTTCCCATGGTGAAAACAAAAACAGGACATTAATTAATATTTTATTCCAATGAACAATACAGTCCAATCTTGACATCCCTTTAAAACTTGTGGAAGAAGGTAAATTGAGGGCATTATAACTAGAAACCTAGTTGCAATATTCAGGCTAAATTAGCCAAGCTGTGACTCAAGAGAAATAATGGTTACAGCTCTGCTAGTTTGGTCTAAATTGTGCAATTCAAGTTGCAGTTGAGTGAATAAAACCACCATAGGTGAGCATATGTAATCATTTCATTAAAACACTGTACATTGGCCATGCATGTTTGTTAGCAGCTGTGTACTCCATTGTGGATCATTCTTCTCCTACAGGTGAACACTGTGAGGAACACGTGGCTTCCTTCAAAAAGACTTTTGGAGAGCAGGCACTGCTGAAACTTCCTGCTTTATGACCTAATCTGGCCCGGCGTAAAAAAAAAACTGTATAAAGTATTTATTACACTAATAAATTTCATGCAGCTTCGGCTACTATTACAAAAATGTGTTTCTTTACAAAAATGTTGTTTTGTTATCAAACTAATTACTAAAATATACATCTGATGAATAATCATTTTCTGGAATAAAGCAGCTGGAAAACTTGCACTGATTCTTGCATTTATAAAACAAACCTCCCCATAAATTAAACATGGCATGGAACAATGTAACCTGCCCCATTCTTAACAAAATGTAACTTCTATGTACAAACCCCAAAAATAGCCACTTCTTTTTAAATCCCTAACACTGCTTCATGGAATCAAGTATTCCTGAGATGAATGGCTGCGCCAGTATAGTTCATTTTTTTTGTGCAGCACCTCTCCCAGCTCTTACACGTCGTCCTCAAGCGTTTGGGTCATGGGTGATGCAGGAAGTTAAGTTAGTGGTTTAAAAGTCTCTCTTGTTCTGTGCCTCGCAGTCTTTCCAATGCAGCTTGAGCCTTGGCTTTATTTACTTTCGGTCCTGCAAGAATATAAAAAAAAAACATTTAATTTACAAACTGGACCAGAAAGCAGCCCACCCAAGTATGCAGAATTAAATTGTCCCTTCATAAATGGAGACAAGCTCCAAGACAAACTTCTTGAAAATGCATAGATTACATGAACTTTATGCACCTGTTTTGCAAAGAAGAATATTGCATTGTAGGTAGTATTTATAGATGGTATACACCATAGGTGCCCAAAAGGTAGATCCCTAGATGTTTTAAAACTACAGCTTTGTCATTCTAAAAGCATCATAGGAGTTGTAGTTTTACAACACCTTGGGATCTACCTTTTGAGCACCCCTGGTATACACAAAGATTTAACTGGAAAAATACATTACTTTTATGGGGTTTCAATAATGCAATGCAAGTCTCATTTGAATAAAGTAACTACTCATGCAGACAATGGACCGTTTAGGGTTTGCATTTACACATGCGTGCACACATCTATAGCATCATTGATCAGTCTGTGAAAGGGAGACTGCAAAATATGAGGAATCAAGAGGAGGCACAGTTACCATGACCCACAAATCTAGATGTAACTTGTTAAATTGTAGACAGAATATGCATTACTCCATTATGTGCAGAAGTCCTGCGATTAGCTGAAAGGTTTTCGGATATTTCCTAAATTGGACAGAGCTCCTTACATGAGCTGCAAATCCTAGATCGGGTAGCAGTGTTAAGCATTGCAGCTAGTGGCTGTCTCCCAGACGGCCATTAGAAGGGCTTCCTAGATTCAAGAGTTTAACACTGAAACTATGCTGGACGTCCTCTTGCTTTGTCCAGCATCTTGAAAATCCCCATAGGAAAGCATTGAGTTAGTGCTTTCCTATGAGGAAGGCCTAATGTGCTCATTATGCATTAGGTTCCCGAAGTGCTGTAATGTCGGAGGAGGTGAAAAGCAATCTATATAGCGGAGTTCAGGTAAGTGAAAGGGTTAGTTTTTTTTCTTTAAACCCTTTATTTACTGGGTGGTGCAGAGGAACACTATACTGTTAGGAATACATTCTAACAGAGTGTTGCTTTAAGGCCAGACTCAAACTGAAAGCATGATTTGCCTAGTGAATCTTTCCAGATTGGTTATTTTGAGTTTAAAATTACACCTTCTCAATATATGTTCACTTTCATTCCTTCCCTACTAACCTCCACACTCAGTTTCCCAAACTAACAATTTTTACCCTTCTACTAAAATATAAAAAAAAAATATATATCTCCACTTTTGCTATAACTGCCCTCCTGCATTCTATTTCTGCTGTAATTAGATTTCCAGAACATGTGAGTGGTTTGTTTCACCAAAACCATCTACACTATATGTTTATCTCTTTTTTTCCCCTTCATTGTATGTTTAAAAGCATATTCCTGAATTTAAGACAACACAAAATTGTTGGTAAGTGAACCCCTCTATCACTTATATTTGTATTAGCACTTCACTAGGTGGTGTAGTTTACACTACATTTCTATAGATTTCCATTTACTCTTCCGGATAATTCCTAATATTTTTATTTCAGTTCGCAATCGCTGAGGAGGTAAGTATACAGCAGGTGCCATACAGACTTTGATCCATACAACCGCAAAGACACTGTTTCAACTGACAGGTTTAAAGTTTGATAGATCTAAGCTAGACAATACATTACAATAGGTCAACTCTAGCTCAGAATGCCATTTCAATTCTACATGCACCAGAAATGATCAAGTTTGGTCACATTTTACTATTTTGACATTCAATCTGCAGCCATAAGAGTTAATATTTTATAAAATAAATTCTATCCACTTTGTCTTCTCTGACCCTTTATCACTCCTTACCTAGAATGCACTCTTGAAATGAATAAGGATTGTAGTTCAGGGATAGGAGTAAATTGTTTCAGTGGGAAGCTAGGTAACACTTATTTGTGAAATGATACCCAGCTGACTTACTATAAAGGAAATTGGCACATGTTCATTACAGAATTAATTTAAGAAAAACACTGCTCTCTACCCAATAGTAATCATAAATTCTAATAATGTTATTTCAAAGTTAAGTATAAATGGCAAGGTAAGACTAGAGATGTTCGCTATAAAAAAAAAAAAAAAAAAAGTTTAGAACCTATTTTAGATGTAAAAATATAAATTAGCTTAGTACATGCGTATTTGTAAAGAATCTGATCAATTTACTAGATGTCAGCATACTCTAAACATTATCACAAAGTGCTATTCTAGCCTGCATAGAACCTGATCCCTGCTTACCAATACAAGTAAAACAATCTAGAGAAGGTGTGAATATTGAACTTTCATTAACAAACAAAATCTAAATCATATGATGGAGCGTTCAATCTGTGTCAGGCTGGAGAATAAAAATATAGGTGTTTTAATGTACTGAGGGAATGGGTCCTGTGTAACAAAAAACACTTGCCGTTTATAGAGAAACTGCCAATGGCCCAGATTAACTGCAGTAAGTTAGGATAAAGGCCATTTGTCCCAATGTCTATCTTTCCATGCAGAGTCTGTGATAGACTTTGAAGTTTGTCTTAACACAGGTTAAATACATAGTCTATGCCCTATGCAAAATAACCTTTACTTCGCAGCTCTGCATTCTGTAGGTGTTTTAAGGAAATTGACACTAAGCATTCAAAGTTATAGGTGATGTAATGTAAAGACACAGGACCCGGCAGCCAGTTTGTCACTATCAAATAATGCAAAATGCTATAGCAGGGGTTTTAGTATGTGTATTCCCTGTTCACAGTAGAATGGAAAATCTGACCGTGTTAGAGGACCTAATATATTCTACTCCCAGCTGATTATTTTAATCTATATTACCCATTTTGAGCTCCTGTCCATTCAATATTCAGCCTTCTGTATACAGGGGTTTTTCATAAAGATTGGAAACTTATTTCAATGAAAAATTAATAGAATTGATGTGCTCGGATTTTTTTTGACATAGATCATTTATCCCATTTTTATCCAGGACTTCTATGTAAGTATTGCTAACACAAGAAAGCAGATAAATGAAAGTATTGTTTATTTGGGCAGGAGTACTGTGTATGCAAGTAAAAGGCTCGTCTCCTTTCACTGGGTGCTGGTACAGTGCACCATGGCTACGTATTGTCCTTATCACCCTCCCTGCACTCACCTAAGTAACTTAGAAGAACAGGTAGAAATATTAAGCCATGAGCAGCCCCCAGCAGCACCATCGATAGATACATTCTGAAGTAGAACACTTTAAATATCTGAGACTTCGAGAAAGCCAACACACCAATGCCAACAAACTTGGTCAGTGTGATTCCACTGTAAACCTGGAGGGGGAAGAAGACAACACAGTTAAGCAATTGTATCTGTACACACCCTGCATTACTATTCTCTGATGGGTCTTGGTGCTGAAAAGACCAATAGTAACAAAACCTTACACAAAGCTACAATATGGGAAATGGAACCTAAAATATACATTGGCTTAAAACGCAGTTTATAGTATGGTCCCTCAAGACAGGTTATGTGAAAGATATGGGCACAAGAGTAAATATTTTTATGGGGAAATGTAGCGCAAAAACGTGAGCAGTCACCATGGAAACAGAGGGAATGTTCCTTGAAGTTATATAAGCGTATACGTGTGACTGAGTCCTTTGTATCAAACATAATAATCTAATATTTATTTGAACAATTACAACTATCTTCAAAATGTATAAATTCAAATCATTCTAATAGGGAAAAAAATTACATTAAAAAACATGTCAAATTCATCTTTGAGGCCTAAAGATTAGCAATTTTCATTGTACCCTAATCAAAGTTTATTGAATAACTCCAGTGATCTTAATTACATCTTGAAGCGGATTTATCTGGATGCCATCAAATAGTCTTAAAACTTTACGTAACAAACCGCATTTGAGGATCACATCCAATTAAAACTAGACAGGCATAGGATGCTGGAACACACTTACCGAACTGCCCATATGGGCTAAAGCATCCTGCGCTCGCTGAACACGGCTGCCCTTTGTGCTGACGGAGAACGCTCTGGTTATATGACTGCAAAATTCCACAGAAATACCGCAGCACTGCATGGGGGTGAAAACAGGAGCATTCATTCATAGTGCACGGTACAATCTGCGTATTCATTGTCAAAATGGTTCATTTCAGAGATAAGTACCGTAGCTAGATAGATATAATATATACATGATAGATCATAGATAAACTCACCATAACCAAATTGACAAGTGATACTGCATTCAAGCTGATGTCCCAAAGCCACATGACTCCGAACATATTGACAAGAATCATGGCGATTGTAAGGCTCATCAGAAATGCTGACCAGAGCTCGAAGCCCAGCAATATTACAGCCACAAAGAATATGGCAGCCAGAGATACACACAGGTTGAAGATGGTATCATTCACGATGGTTAAATACTGCTCATAAAATACGTAGAATATACTGCAAGAAATGGAGACATAAATGACTTATTGCATCACAAACCTTGTTTGTTTGATTTTTAAATCAACTGTGCATGGTTTCTATATATAAAGAAAGACAACACAATACAAACAATTTATCCCTGGAGGAATCTCCATGCAAACAAAGCAGTTTTACTTATAATATAGACACCTAGGAAGTTAAATGCAGCCACATGAACTTGCAGTAGAAGTGCAGGGACATCATCCCCCTTTTCCCAAGAGATTCTCAAGCACCTTTTGGTACAAAGCATAGTAACCTATGCCATGTTTTACCACACTCGCTAAATAACCAGTCCTTGTTGATCATATACCTGTAAGCAAATACGTGATAATTCTTCCCAGGTATGTCCATGTTATCAGTGATGTTTTTCGCCATGACACGAGCTTTCCTCAAGGCATCAATGAAATCTGCAGAGGTTTTCAGAATGGTGTGGTAAGTCATGAAGTAGGTGGCCCCGACTTGGGTGTTATTGTTCAAGAGGTCAACTGCAGTGCTGTATGCGGCATGGCCACTGAAAGTAACAGGAGATAATGTCAGGGGCAGGAAATGACACTAGTATCACTGAAGTTCAAAAGAACATGGAATGTTTATGCTATAGTATCCTACAAGACATCAGGTCAGAATGGAAGTCTATGCAGAGAACTGCAGAGATGTGTGCACGAACAAACGGGCACATCCTATTTCCAATAACTTTAGATCAAGTTAAGATGATGTTCTTATTGATATCGCTTAAAAACAATGCATTTGGCCAGAACTGAAATGAATTTGCCTTTTAGTGAATAACCAGGTCTGAGTTTGGAATGCAAACCCTAGCTGCCAAACAGTTGTAACACACTTACCCTTTCCCACATTTGGGGTTAGGGTTATCAGACAGGAACATAGGAAGGAATTTCATAAACTCTTCCCCGACCGGCTTCCGCTTTCCTTCTTGAGTATAAGGGCGGCAACGTACACAGGCTGGATCAACAACTACAGAAGATGGAAAAAACAGAAGAAAAATCAGGTAATTTGCTAAATTATCTCTCTGTGGCTAAAGGTACAATCCTTACCCCCAGGTTACTCTACAAAGGTACAAAAATCAAAGCAAGAATAACATTTGGATTACAAGAAACAAAATAAACATTATACTAAATGAAGCAGTGCATGGTATTAGAAGAAAGTTTTTATCACTCATCCGTATATGCACACGAAAAATAAATAAATAACATGCCTTTAGGGATTGACCAGAGAGACAACACAAGTAATGCATGCAAAAGGGTAACTGTCAGGGAGAGAAGGCTGGGGCTCTGCAAAAGCTCTCTACAGGAGAGGAAGAGCTGGTCCTTCAATAAAAGGCTCCTGTTTTGTTATATGCTGCTTACATCGCTTCAAATCTGACACACAAGCATTTCTACTAAATAAACAAAATGTGACTGCAGTTGATTTAAAATACAGATTAAGGAAACAACACACATACTAAAAAGATTAAACATTTTATAAAACTACTTACAATCACCTATATTAGCAAACAATTTATTATTCAGTTTCACCATATGGCCATGTTGTGTCAAGTTTACCACCACGTTCAATTTTTCCAAATTAAAGGACCACTCTAGGCACCCAGAACACTTCAGCTTAATGTCTCAAGTGGCGGTCTGACTGACAGCCACTGGAGGCAGTCTGACTGACAGCCACTGGAGGCAGTCTGACTGACAGCCACTGGAGGCAGTCTGACTGACAGCCACTGGAGGCAGTCTGACTGACAGCCACTGGAGGCAGTCTGACTGACAGCCACTGGAGGCAGTCTGACTGACAGCCACTGGAGGCAGTCTGACTGACAGCCACTGGAGGCAGTCTGACTGACAGCCACTGGAGGCAGTCTGACTGACAGCCACTGGAGGCAGTCTGACTGACAGCCACTGGAGGCAGTCTAAGTCCTGCAATGTAATCAATGCAGTTTATCAGAAACGTTGTTAAGGACACAAATATTTCCAGACACATTGTGGCTGATGCTCCCAAACACAGAAGTAATTACTTGAAGCATTGCAGAACTTCTCGGTCTCATTATAGACTCGGCAGCAGGAAGACTGAGGCTTTACCCAATCAAAGTAGTCATCAAGCCAAGAGGATGGTGAATACCCGATCCTGGTGCTAAAAGAAGAAAAAAGGTTGGCATTACAAGTTATTTGCAATGTATTGGTGGAAATATAAGACAGGAGTCGCAAGTACCACTCGGCATCATAGAGTCACATATACAGAAAGGTAACTAAACAAACACAGCTTTGTCTACGTGCTTGCAAACTACTCACTAGTTACTTATCTGTGCTGCATTGTAGATCTGCTGCACCATTGAATTGTTATTGCATCCTGAGCCCCCACACACCATGTCCTGTCCTTCTTTAGAAGTGTAGTCATGTCCTTCCTCGACCACAAAGTACATAGGAGGGCCGGTGTGCAGGAACTTATTGAGAGAGTGAAAGTATGTCAACATGTAGGAGTCCTGGAGGGGAAAGAAAACACATGGGAGTTGGAGAATGCTTACCGTGTGTTACAGTAACAATATATAAGCATAAGACATTTGCTGTATTATATAAAACTTCATGCGATTCAAGAAGAAGATATGTGTGTAACTGTGGACTCTATGTGTAACGTCCCCAATTTATTTTCCAGAAAGAAAGCAATATAGTGTGTGATGGATGGCAAGATTGTAATCGTGATGATATTTTGAGGAAGTAAATCCATAGAAATTACTATGTTCGTCTGCTTCTTAAAAAAAGACTCAGAATTCCAAAAAGCTTCTCAGAATTCAGCGAGTGCTCATTACAGAGATAACTTACATCAGGCATTGACAGAGCTTGATCCAAACCGATCTCTACTTTATTCGTCACAGCAATACTGAATGATAGGATTCCCACAAACACAGATATCTGGAAGAAAGTCAGATGCTGCAATGAGCTGCACAGCTCTAACAGAATACATACATTAGCAAATGATCACAGGAAACTTCCCTTACACCTATGTTTTGGAGCACGAATCTTGAGCCAGTACGAAGAAAGGGAAAATATAAATAAACAACAAAAAACATATGTGAAATTATGCTGCATGAGAATTAAAAATATTCAATTTGTGGCGTTTAATAGCTTTAGAGGAGTGACAGACAAGCTTGGGAAGTTTGTAGTGCTAAGCATAGTCATGGCATAGTACAGAGTTTAAAACCAATCTAAAGGATTGATGTTCAAAAACAGTAATTTGGCCGTAAATAGGAGAGCGTTTTAAAGTGCTCACAACGTATACACGTCACGTAAACTATATAGTTTCCAGGAAAGAGATTGGAATTGCATGTTGATAAATTAGTAAAATTAGGACATATTCTTCCCACCTTTACTTTTATTTTGTCAGAGAAATTGCACTTAATGTGCAACTTTACAATCCCTGCAACATCTATTTCAGTTTTACCATAGACATGAATTGGAGCCACTCAACTATGAACAGCTCAAATGTAATCAGCGTCCAAGGCTGTCAATGTACAGCTGTACTGTCTGTGTGTTATATGTTCTTACCAATATTATATATGGAAATGGTTGAAGCATCATCACAACAGTATTTAGAAAATTGGGCAGACTAGATGGGCCGAATGGTTCTTATCTGCCGTCACATTCTATGTTTCTATGTTTCTAACAAGGGGCTTAGTGCAGGAGAGACATCTACTTAGAGAGGTATCTTGTATTCGATACATTAGGAGTAATAAATTGTGAATTTTAATACATGATAAATGTAAAGAAATTATCCAAATATTGGACTAATCATCCAGCTCTAGAGCAGATCAACAGATGCTCTAGAATACTGTGAAAGTTGCACTTCATCAAAAGACAGATTTTTTTCCCGAGAAAAAAAATCCCCCAAACCTTCTCAATGACCGACCCTAAGGGGGTATACTCTATTCACATAGCCAGAAGTATTGAGCAGCCTGGATGGTCATAGCCTTGGTTGTATAATATAGAACAACCCATTAATCACTGATGGCCAAATCTATCTCAAAAATCCCATTGAAGCAGAATTGGATAACCCTTAAATTTCAGGGGTGCATAAAGACACACTTGGCAAACAATGGGATAGACAAAGCCTAAACCTAAAGGCAAGTCAAAGCAAACATACTGTCCTTTGTTTTGTTTCTTATTGTTATTTTTTTTCTTACAATTCTTTTCATATGGTTTTATATTACCAAAGAGGACCAAGGAAACCGCACTCAATTCCAGATGACCACCACGTGCTTAGCTGAAGTAGGACCAGCAAATCCAGAATAACATAACAGTTCAAAGGAAGATCTTCATGAACTCGCAGTGTTCAAACAGCAACAGTTTTATTGGATCAAAAATATTGACAAAGTTATGTTTCAACCTTATACAAGGTCTGTGTCGAACTTGACAAACACCTTGTATAAGGTTGGAACATTGCTCTGTCACTAATTTTGATCCAGTAAAACTGCTTGCTGTTTGAACACCGAGTGCCTGAAGATCTTCCTTTGTATCACATTGTTTTATGACTGATGTTATACTACTATGATATTGTCAGAACGGTTTTATTATAAGGTTACACCCACCCCCCCTTTGAAAAAATAGTTTTATAGTAAATTAAATTTTAAAAAATAAAATAAAAATAAAATAGTCAAGACAGATTGGCTCAGAATCTTGGCAAATGTACCTTGCGGACATAACTTACCACAATCGGTCGTACCCAGTCCTTCATTAACAGCGGAGAGAAAAGTTTTTTGAAAAACAGGAACACCCAGCTTTCAGATTTTTTAGCCCCACGATCGCGTTTACATCCTGGGACACAGCAAAGGATATCCAATCGGTTTTTCTATTTGTTAAACGAGTACACAGATTAAATAAATAAATTAATTATATTGACTTAAAAGAATAAACAACTATCCTATTTGTAATTGGCCTTCCCCGACCTAGCAAAAAGAATTCTCCAAAAAAAGACTCCTGCCTCTAGGTTCTTTAAGACATGAGGCTTTTGTACCAAATTTGACCCAAGATCTTTTTTAAGTTGCAAAAAACTATTTTCTTGTTCCATTTTTCAAGGGTATTGCAAACAGAGAAGCATTCTCACTCCTTATTTTGAATCTGTAGGTTTTATAATTGATATTGGGATTAATGAACAGTTTATAGCTAGAAAAGTATCACTCCTTACCATCTGTTAAGCATTTAAGAAAGTAATACACCTTTAATGTTTTAGTCCTTCATACAACAGTTTGTTAATGTTAGAGATAAGGAATTGTTTTTTTTTATTTCCTATTTAAAATTATTTTACACATGATAAATCTTGTAGACCGCATTCAATTTAACGCTGTCTCAAAAAATTCTACCCAAACTATCTAGTTTTTTCTATAACCAATTAGAATGTTCCAGATAAAACAGGCATGTGTATTTGAATATGTTCTGCCATGGCATGGACCATATGTGGCCAAAGGAGATACTTTAATGGTGTTCCCCATGCAATTAAGGTCTGGTTTCTATAAGCCAGTGGTTCTTATTCTTAAACGTGTTTCAAGTGTTAATTTAGCAACACATCACCTACTGTAAAATTATTTTCTTATAGTGTAAACGGAAAATATTCCTTCACCAGACTATGCCTTGCCTGGAGGAAGACATAGCCGTCAACAATATATTGCGGGCAATTGTCTGGTAATGGATGAACATAATGAACCTGTTCAAACCAATGAGGACCCACCAAATACAGAATAAGGACTTTTTTTGCGTCATTAACTCAGATATTAGAAAACATGGCTATATTCTATATTTTAGGTGAAAATATCATAGAAAATCTGTCTTCAAAAGATCAGCAAAATTCTTTATAATTCTATGCAATATTGATTTGAATGCCTTCTGCGGGAAAAACTAAACACTTTCTAATTTCCATCCAGTAACTGCGGTTATCAAACATGCTTTGGAGTTAAAGAATCCCTAACCAAATCCAAGCATAGAATAACCAAGCACCTCTTGGCGTCTGATGTCCAAACCGAGGAGGCTCACAAAGCAGGTGATCTGAAGGAGGAAATCCAGGAACACAGCCATTCCGGCAAAAAGGGAAAATGTGCGCACTGCTGGCATAGTAGACAGTGCTCCTGAAATAGAGATGCAATATACAGTGTCAATGCAGAGACATGAAAGTAGTGGTTCATTCAGACTATCAATACACTGTAGTTTAACACATGATTATAATAAATTTAAGGTGGGTGTTGGTTCTTTTAATTTACTAGTCACCACTCTAGGTACTTCATATCACAGCTTGTTAATATACCAAGTGCATGGCCTTCTTTGATTCTTCATGTATATTCTATGTTTCCATTAGATGTGAATCCCGTGTATGTGGGCGTTCTACAATAGTGAGTTATGCATGGTGCCATGACAGTTCAGCAAGACGTATGACAGACAGTGGTGATTAATCACTGAAACAGAAATTGTGGAAGATTGACAAAGGACTTAATTTAGAAGAAGAATTCATATAATTTGACTGTTGGCCTAAATTTTGCAGTGACGTAGCCTATTCTCCAAAGTACGTGGTTTACGGATTAAATCCATATACTGGCAAACTTTCAGGAATATCAGGCACAAGATATTAAAGTAAGAAAAGTTCTTCTCTTAATGTAACCTTTCTAGACTTACCTAAAGGATAATAAAACATATAATACTATTGCTCACCTAGGAAAAAGGCAACAGTTTCTGAGAAAGCTGATAGGAATATGCTGGGAGCAACAGACCCCAGGACTCTGCCAATCTGCTGATCAAGGGTTTCCCCCTGCTGGCGTTCATCTCTCTGTACAAAGCCATAAACACACGCGTGTTAAAACATGTAGAAACTTGGATAAGTCAACAGGAGAGTGTTTGATTTGGTGCAATTGTATTGCCATTTCCTTTCTCCTGTACAGATAAAGCATCACCATTGCATGCAGTGCTGCATCCCGATATTATATTAAATACTAACATCTATAAATATCACCATTAGTGGCTGATAGACACAGAGACACACAATTGCCGAATTTACAAATAAAGAATGAGAAGAACGTTGCTTGCAAGAACCTACAGGACACAGTGAGCGTTCATGAGAAGTTAGCCATCAGATAAGCAAGAGTAGAACATCAATATTAAAGATAAAAAGTGTGAAGATGCCTCATTGCCCACTGAGTGTACAGTCTGATAATGAGTTAACTTAAAACAAGGTAGACATATTCAACACAAGCATTAAAATGTATCTGATCGGCATAAAAATTCACCTGCAAAGTTTGTACGATGATATAGATGTTGTCCACTCCTACGGCAAGAACTAAAAATGGTATAACCTCGATAACAATGAGCGTGAGCGGAATGCCGGCGTAGCTGAAGATTCCCAAGGAGGACGCTACAGAACTGAGCACAATCAGAATGCCCGCAATACCCAGAGACACCTTGCAGTCCACCTGTGGGTAAGAGAACAGGACATTAACATAATAAAAACACGAACAATTAATAAAATGATACAGACACAGGGAATATTGCAAACTAATGGACAGAAAAATTTAACCAAGGATAGGTATAAAGGAACAATATCCAAAATGATTATGCACAACTGTAAACAATATTGAGGTCTACACGAGAGAATATACACACAATGTAGAAAACAGACTGCGCATGAACACGCAAGCTCCAGAATGAAAGGAGGATTCCATTTCCGTTTAACAGCATTCCCTGCTTTTCACATGGTGGTATCTAGCTTTATTTCTATACGTTGCCGTTTTGTGCTGCATTGATTTTAATGGAAAGAAAGCGATTTTAACGGTACTTGGAACTGAGGCTGCCTTGCATTTTTGTGCATTCTGGGCCTAAGTTTAGGGAGTAAATCAATTTACTGCACAGGAAGACAGGACTCAGTAGACAGTTGTTCAAATCTATATATTTGTTATCAGTTTAGATAGAAAACTGTATCAATGAAATTGCAATGCCTAACTGAAGCAAAAGAGCAACATCACTTTAAAGAAGCACTATAAGTACCAACACTTCTACGTTATCCATTTTGGAAACAAATGTGGCATCCGGTTCCTTATTTTCTAAAAGCAGAAGTGGTCATGGTGGTTGGAGTAACCCTTTAATATTTTATGTGAATGTAAATGATCAAAACACTATTTTTCCCCTGTAAATGTATAGCAATATCTTTACAGGCAGTTGGCAGATCTCAGTGACAGCTGGATGAATTTGTCGCTAAGCCAACTGTAAGCTCAGCACATCGCTGCACTAGAATGAGAGAGACAAAAGAGAGTCTCCCAGTGCTGACAGAGTTTGGATATTGTTTAAAATACACACTTTTGGTTCCTGTGATTAAACAAAAAATTCTCATCGAAACACAAAACAGAGAATTTTCCCAACTATGCAGCTGGCACCTGCATTTAGTTATTGGAGTTTAAATTCACAGCAATTTCTTCCTAGTTTGAAGGAATTTAACATAAATAGTATTTAGAATTTTACCCACCAGGACACTACGGCATTGGCCGACGTTTCCCAATGCCAAGGAGATGTAAGCAAACATTAAGCCATAGCTGATTAGCACAATGGAAACATCGCTGTAGCTTTCCCGATTTATCTCGTCTTCAATGCTCCTCTCCGCAGAGAACGAAATCGATAAATTTGAATTATTATAATTTTTCACAAACCGGATAAATCTTTAAAGGGGGGAAAAAATGTGTATAAATATTTTGATTAAAAACACAACATCCACATGAATTTCAAGTCACAAAAATAAATATATTCATTTTAAGTTATTACTAAATGTATTTAATATTTAAAATATGGTCAACATTGGGAGGGACTATATAGTCATTATATTGCAAACCACAGTAACATTTTATTTTTACCTAAAATCAATAGTCATTCAATGAAACTTATTGCTTTTAAATTAAGTTCACAGGAACACTTAAAGGACCACTATAGTGCCAGGAAAACATACTTGTTTTTCTGGCACTATAGTGCCCTGAGGGTGCCCCCACCCTCAGGGACTCCCTCCTGCCGGGCTCTAGGGTGAGGAAGGGGTTAAACTTACCTCTTTCTCCAGCGCCGGGCGGGGAGCTCTCCTCCTCCTCTCCTACTCTTCGGCTGAATGCGCATGCGCGCGCATTCAGCCAGTCCATAGGAAAGCATTCACAATGCTTTCCTATGGACGCTGGCGTCTTCTCACTGTGATTTTCACAGTGAGAAACGCGGAAACCCTATAGCTGCTGTCAATGAGACAGCCACTAGAGGCTGGATTAACCCTAACATAAATATAGCAGTTTCTCTGAAACGGCTATGTTTATAGAAAAAAGGGTTAAACCTAGATGGACCAGGCACCCAGACCACTTCATTAAGCTGAAGTGGTCTGGGTGCCTATAGTGGTCCTTTAAAAGCAACAGAAATCTTAATCTTAACTTGATTAACTAATTCACTACCAAGTAGTTTAGGGGTTTTTTTTGCAGAAAAAAAAACAAACCCCAAAGAAACTGAATGAGTACTTTAGGTATTCTGTAAAGAAGTAATGTTTTATTTATTTGTTTTTCATTTCAGTATGTATAGATCACACATTATTTAAAGGAAACAAATAAAAAACAAACAAAAAAAACCTTTAATAAATAAATAAAAAAGATGTATCAAATAATGACGTTACAGAGAAGAAAACTGTTGTAAAATAATTCTCAATATGTAGCTGCAGGGTATTATAGCAGAGGTAGTGCTATAATAGCACAGCAAATGAATATTAAATTTAATTTGCAATTATCAGATTTAATTTGCAATAGGTGATGCGGTCACCATAATAGAAGGTTTCCAGTTCCTCCAGCCTCCATTACTGGTGCTTCCCCAATATTGCTCCATTTATACTATCCTAGCAAGCACAGAGGAACATCACAGTAACTTCAATGAATGCCCTCTAGTTGCTGTGACGAAGTGCAAGAGAACCTACAGAAGGGGGGATTCTCATGCTCTCCTCTTTTACTCTAAACTTAGTTTAGATTTAGTTAGAATGTATAAAATTGCCTGCAATTCTGCTAGCACAATGCATAAATTAAATTTCATGGCCTTTGATCTGACCTACCGTTATGCCAAGACAGGTTCAATTTGACCAATGTATAGTAACCCCTTCGTGACTGAGCTTTTCCTAAATACCGCCATTTCATGACAGGGGCCTTATTGGCATCTTTGCTATAGGTTTGTAACACCGGAATTTAACAGTTTACCTTTAAGTGCACCCATACATCATATACCGTTTTTAAACACTGGCAGATAAGATTTTGATTTAGCTCCTTCGGTTCACAAGTTACGCATTACGACACAAAAACGCACTTTATTAAATATTGTCACGGCGATAGTGATTGCAGTGATATTAGGGGTATACATCACATTGGATGTACATAACCGATGGTGCCGTACCACATACAGACCCAGTCGTGAAGGGGTTAATGCATATTAAATTGTATATTTTACACTACCTGCAATACCGTGGTAATGAAATTATTAAAAAAAAAACTCAAAGAGCCAACTTGTGTTTATTGCAGGTTTTGTTTTTTTGACCATGAATGATGCTACTTGTGACAACTGAAATTCATATCTCTGCTGTGGGCTTTGCATTCTGCTACATATACCATATCCTGCTACATATACCATATCCTGCTACATATACCATATCCTGCTACATATACCATATCTTGCTCACTACTGACCTGCAGCAGATCTGAATGGGTTTTTTCCTTTTACTTCTACAACATTATTTAACCAATGCAGTAAGTGGGGATGGGAACTCCAGCCTGGGATGCTTGAAATGTATACTGAACAATATACTGAACTTTTGCAACATGGTCAGTAAGGTCCCTTCTTACTGCAACATTGCCAAACATCGATTAACCATCAAAGAAAATGACTTACTCTTGTTCCCAGGCCTTTGCTTTGTTTAGTTTTTCTGTATCATTGTGGAAATTGTTCACAGGAAAGGTAATCACAAGCGCTGTTGCATTGTTATAATTCTCTTCTGCATTAAGAAAGAGACATATTTCATTTAAAAACAATCTACATCTAGATCTGCATCAATCACTCCAAATTACATCTAGAGAGTCTAGAGTTAGCACATGGGTCCTGCCTGCTCTGTACCATATATCTGTTTTCGGTAATACAGAGAAAAGAATCATGAGTACATGTGAATCTGTGCACACGTGATGGCTTAATCAAAGGCTGAAACCTCCCGTGTCAACGTGGGCCGGCCTCTATGTGTGGCTGGCTAAGGCATCTTGTGCACCCAAGCCACAGGTCCCACTTCACACAGGCCATCCCAAAAATTGGAAGAGGTTATATGAACAGTGCAAATGAAAAACAAGGATTCAATAGAAAACAGTAATCAGGAGTGTGTGGCAACTCACCATCATAGCCCCCTAGTACCAGCCATGGAAAGATGGGTCCCCCAAATGTACCCAGGCAAGGGTCATGCAGAATGGTTGTGTCATTCAGAGAGGCTGGGGACCTGAAAGAAATGGCCATGAGAAGGATACAGTCAGTTACACATTTTATCCAAGGCAAAGACTGTCACAATAGATAGGGCAGGCAAACTAGACTGTCACACAAACTGCTGTTCATTAGAAAGACTCAGAATAGGAGATGAAACGAAAGGCATGACAGGATTTGAAATCAGAACGTCTCGAGTGCAGCAATGTATGGGACTCACTCTGCATTATACATTATGATCTGGGCAGCTCGCTGCTGTTAAACAGAATAGGAAGCCAGCAATAACTAGTCTTATTCCATAGACCACCCCAAAGCAGGTATTTAGTGCTAAGTAAACTTTCTAGCAATGGATGATTGGAACCACTCTAAATGGAGGGCAGCCACAGGAGGGAGAGCACACAAAATGTGGGAAACAACGGATAATTGTGCGGCTGGAAATAAACATTCTGTCTGACAGTTTGGTGAGGCAGGGTTACAAATTGTTACTGTCCCAAGTCTCACAGCTGAAAATATACACAAGATTTATTTTGCATCATCACCTTTGCAATCAAGCAAAGTTTTGGCAGTACTTTAGGAGACCTTGAAAAAAAGAAAAAAAAAACCCAAACCAAAAAAAATAAAGAAAAAAAATGGGGATTCTTCACTTTAAAACTGTGACTTATGGAAGGTTGACAACGAAACTGTAAAATGTAGCTGAAATATGCAAACTGGAAACATTCTCTCAACTCTGCTATTCTGATATCAGATCTCCTTGGCAATTTTCAAGTTTGCTAATTACTGGGAATTTTTTATTTTTTTTTCCCCCATGATGATCTGCCATCACTGTCCTAGGGTGGCCTCCACAGTTTGGGTAAGCTATGTGACTATATGAAATACTCTTCCAGTGATACAGCGGCCAGCAGCACCACTGAAAAAGTTAGTTGGGGGATGTCATAACACAAGTAAACTGGCAGACATGGTGTTGACTGTTATAATGAGGTCTTCCGTTTAGGGCTGAGCAAGCAATACCTAAATGTTTTTTCTCGCTGGGTTCTTCTCTCGCAAGCTCTGAGCGGTGCAGTGGTAACCATGGCACACTCCAAATCTCGCAAGAGTGAACTTTAGCCTGAACTGCAGGCAAGATTTCACTCTCCCCGCCAGGGCTTCTTCACTGGACCACCAGGGATTGCCTTGTACTGTCCCCCTCCCAGGCAAAGGTAAGCAGGGAGGGGGGATATCAAAATCATTATTTTTAAAAAATTATTTTAATAAAAAACAAACAAAAAAAATTATATTTATAATATAATAACACACACACACACACACCCCCTCTCTCTCCTCCCCCCCTCACCCCCACAAACACACACTCAAGTTTGTTTTCCTGGCACTATATAGTTTCCCTTTGATTATAGTGGGAGTTAGTCCTACACCATCAGCTAAGCTCTGATCTGCATACACTGGTTCTTTAGATCCAGACTGGCCAGTCTTCAGCCAAGAAGAGCAAGCAAAGACTTGACCTGCCATCCAACTACAGACTAGGTAGAGAAACATGAATATTTAAACATCGACTCCTATTGTATAGGTGATTCTTGAAGAAGGGGACTGGAAAGGTTGTTTTAGATCATCCCTACAGCACAGACACAAACAAGGTTACTTACTGCACACAGTATAGGAAGTGAGTGTGGTAATCTGCGACCACATAGAAGAGGTTACTGATTGAATGGTTTAACACAGAGTAACTGTTCTGGAAATAATTCAGCACACTGAGAATGGTGCAGTTGCGGTTATACGGTGCCAAAGGAGTCAGGCAGATGTCTTTCAGCATCACGGTCTCATTATTGTATTCCGCAGATATGTTTTCTATTGCGTTCTGTAGCTCAAGGACCTGGTACATGATAAGGAGAATCAAACGTTACAAATTTCATAGACTATGGCAGTGACAAACTTGTAAGCCTATTTGGAAGCTCTCCAGTGTCAAATGTTCATGAATCCATTAACCCAAGGCAATGTGTTGGTGATCCTTAGGCCCTCAATGTGTGCTAGAAAACACACACCAACCACAAACTCTTCGGATTAATTAAAAGAAGAATATGACATAGAATACAAAAAACTGCGGTTGCCAATAAACACATTTATAGGTAGACCAGTGCTTTGGGAGTGTAATCTAGGATTGAAATGCACAGATCAGCGGGCACACAATGGACTGGAGTCTTAAACAAGATTTAACATGAGAATTACCTAATGAAATTTGGTAACTATTAATTTTGCATTCATATATTTTCTTCAGAGAGGTAAAGACTAGTATTCGAAACAATCAACAAAATCTACAAAAGTATTTAAAATGCTAAAAGGTCAGTCATCGGTACATTTTATACTTACTCTCCAAGTAGATTTTGTTGATACTATTACATACAAAAGTTTCACTTTGTTAAAAGCTCATTTTCTATATTGTAACAAAGAAGCGATCATAATGGTTAGATAAACATTAGGGTTTTTTGTTTTCAAAATATGGTACCTTATCCATTATAACCATTCTAATCATTGTGGCACATTCTGTAATTTGTAAAAACACAAAGTATAGTTTTCTGCAGAGTAAGATGAATATCATTCCATTACCTGAAACAAAATGTCAAAGGCTAGGGGTGGTCCAAATGGTACATCCCTGCCAAATGGGATCGGTGTATAGGTATGAATTGAGCTGTTGGGGGCAGTGATGATCAGCTGCTCTGTGCGAAAGAATGGCCCAAAATGGGTGTCAAAGTAATTTTTCTCTTGGCGAGCCTGACTGTGTGGATCGGACCAGAGTTCCACCGGGTCTGTAGTTATGGTTATGAATCGGAGTCCAGAAGCACAAGCAGCAACGGCAACCAAAGAGAAGAATATAACAACAAACGGTCTCCGTACACAGAATGAACCCCATTTTGTAAAGGCAATTCTCAGGCAGTTCTCAAGTCTTTCACCAGCTGAATCACAGCATGATGGGTCACCTATTATATACAAAACACAAAAAGGAATTAGAGAGATTTTTTTACGGATTTGTCTACAGTCTTCATCTTTTTTTATTTGGCCTAAAACCATTGTATTAGCCTAAAACCAACCTCACACATTGTAACTAGCCTTCTGCAGGATCTGAATTAGCCATTTACCTATTGCAGCAGATTCTGTTCCAAATGAGATTTATAAAACCATTATTAAACCTCATAACATTCCCCCCCATACACTCTAGTAAACCTTTTTTGTGTGTATTTTAACAAAGGGGTTTATAGGCTAATGAATTGCTCATCATGACCTACAAAGTATACAAAGTTTTAGAACATGAATTAGGACATGGGTCAACTACAACAAAATATTCACACACACATATACATAATATATATATATATATATATATATATATATATATATATATATATATATATATATATATATATATACACATATATATATATACACATATATACATATACATATATATATATATATATATATATATATACACACACACACATATATATATATATATATATATATATATATATATATATATATATATATATATACACATACATACATACACACATACATACACACACACACACACACACACAATACATTGCTAAACACAAATACACATACCAGTTAAGCCATAAGACTTTCTTTTCCCACAGAAATCTCATTTTAACAGTGCTCTCACTACTGCAAGGGATTCTGGGTAGGCATGTGCAAATGAGCTCAACAAAGAACCAAATTTTTGCCTCATAATTCCACTTTACACATGGAATTATGAAAAAAAAATAATATCAGGAAGTATTACTTTACTGAGAGGGTAGTGGATGCATGGAATAGCCTTCCAGCTGAAGTGGTAGAGGTTAACACAGTAAAGGAGTTTAAGCATGCGTGGGATAGGCATAAGACTATCCTAACTATAAGATAAGACCAGGGACTAATGAAAGTATTTAGAAAACTGGGCAGACTTGATGGGCCGAATGGTTCTTAACTGCCGTCACATTCTATGTTTCTATGATTCCTTGGAGTCTGTGTCTGCTGTATACAACAGATTTGAAACACAGCTTGGGAAGAGGAACAAAGCCAGTGAACCAGTCATGGACAGTCGTTTCATTGTTAATGCAAATCATCAGCATGAGGTTGGTTACTGGAAGGTGTTTTCATCCACACCTTTTTGATATGTACTTTACAAGTAACGCCAAGCCTCCATAGCAAGCCAGTAACCAACCTCATACGGATTATATATACACACACCTATATGTAGAGTCCAAGCCTACACAATTTAAATATGTCAGACATACCTGAAATCGGTGTAGAGTTTACAGAGTATGCTAATGTACTATCAATTGGAGCATATTCTGATACTATGTTCTTTTTCCTGAAATGGAGAGAAAAAAAATAAATAAAACACTATTAAAAGGATGTCAAATTACAACATAAACAAGACAGACCAAAGGCAGCAGCTTTTACCATAATTCCACTGGTCAGAGATTACACAAACACTGCAGAATTACTTTATAATGGTCATCAAACAGTAGCATGAATGCTACCAAGGATGCTAAATTACTTTGATAGCAGTGGGAGGTGTGGGGGGTGTGGTGTGTGGGGGGGGGGGAGGGGAGGTAAGTTCTGTGAAGTATACCATATTTTTTTCTCTCCCCCTTCCCCCAAATATTTTACAGTGTATAAATCATCCCTTTATTTCTCTGAACACAGACATACACAAACTAAATCCAAAACGAACAGATGCATCTTAAAATACATTGCCGCATGCTTCATATTACACGTATACCATACACAAATCATCACTTGAGAACAAATTAAAATATGCCCTTAAACATATATTCCCAGTGAGCTGTAGGGGTTATGGTGCCAGAAGAGGCTATGCTTTCACCCCCACCCACCCCAATATAAGCAGACAAACAGCATGACCTCTCGCAGTATCCACGGACGCTGCTCCTTACAGCCGGAAGCTACGCAGTGCTTAGCGCAAGATTGCTAATGGAAAATCCCAATGGAGCTTCTGGCGGCAGAGAGGAAGGTAGTGATGCCAGTCGGACCTCAGGAATTGTCAAACTGTTTGACTCCTTATAAAGGACGAGCACCAGGGCACTCCTACGGTTGTTATTGTACTTGGAGTGTTCTAGTGATCGGTCAGTGTGATCAAGTTTTAAGGGCCAACAATAAAATGTTCAAAGATAGAATAGCTTTTTACCACATTGATAAAGGACACCATAACCAAAATGACAATTTATGTGCTCAGGTATGTAACAAAAAAAAATTAAAAAAAAAAATTATATATATATATATATATATATATATATATATATATATATATATATATATATATATATATATATATATATATATATATATATATGTTAGATCCTTGAACACATAAAAATAGAAATTCCACTGCACTGTAACTAAACCACTATTGCAATAAGCAATTGCAATACGGAGTTATATTGGGTGTACTGCCATTTACCCGTATGTGTGAGATATAAATATGAACCAATCAGTTGCATATTTGACATTTTAAAATAAAGGCAGAGTCCTAAGAGGACTATGTTTTGGTGCCAAAAACTGCTAAATTCTTCAATGTGTTATGGGGAACCAATGACTGTTATTGCTTGAAAACTGCACTCACAAAGAGGAACAGTGTGGTTTCAATTTGAATCTCAGACAGGGACAGATGAGCAAATTGTTACAAAATGCCACAAAAGTACACAATCACAAATAAACTCAGAATTTAATAAAAACATCTGTGATCCAAAATTATGTACACTATGGTCTTTACCAAACTGGAAAACTTGGCAATGCTTCCACTTAAGAACAGTTTAAAAAGATTTTTAAAAATACTTCTAAAAAATAAAAAAGTAACAGTTTGATTGTAATTTTTATTATATTTTCCAGATTCTATCACTTTCAAACTTAATGTAGTGAAAGGATAAGAGACATAAATCCATTCTTGTAGCTCTCAACTCCAAACAATGTGTTCACGGATATCTGTAGCCTACATCCCCAAACACTATGTAACGCCAAGAAAAGCATAAACACAAAGCACAGCTGGAACGTGGGGTCACTATTGAAACCTACTGTGGTCAAATCAATCTTCGGAATAAAATAACTATGGGTTGTTCCTGGCAAGCAACAGTACAGACATACCTATAACACCAAGAGGCAATGGCGATTGCAGAGAAGAGAAGCAGGAACACCACGTAAACGATCCACATGATGACAGCCATAGCATCCAAACCCCAAATAAGCCAAGGTATAGGTGGTGGAGGGGGTTTTGGTGTGTTGCCACAAACAAGAGTGCAGTCCTGGCAACTGCAAGGAGCACCAACTTCATCCACAGACTCATTGCATCCTTTGGTGGCATTGTTCATGGGAATCTTTTCAAGATACGGCAAATCTAGAATGAAGTGTAAGTGAATAAAAAGAATATTAGGATAAAACTAAACAAATCTAGACCCGGCAGCCATTTTTGACAATCCACAAAATTAAACAAATCTACTTTAAATTCCCAATCACCAGAAGCTATAAAAACCTTTGAAGTTGTTAAATGTCTAGTTAACCTACCTGAGAAGATCGGGGTGATGGTAAATGGAATTTGTTCATTGTCCTTGTCAAACATGTACTCAATCCAGTTGGTGGCATTGCAGTCCTTAACATCCTTTCCACACATCATACCCAGAGCTTTGGCATTACTTGATGGAGCTTCTACATCTTGGCATGCATTGTACATGGCTGAACGAGAAGAGTTGGAACAAAAGTCAAGAGGCAGAAGGAATGAGGTTCTTCTCAATCACTTTGTGGGCACGTGTACTCACAGCAAACAAATTCTCAAAGCTTGGCTATATTTTATGCAACAAACACAAACCTTGGCATTAAACATCACTGTTCAATTAATGCACTCAAAAGAATATCAAGTGGATTTAAAGTTCAGATTAAATGCCAGGGCTCAAGAACGTCTGTCTCAATAATAATTACATAAAGAGTCAATTTTAGATTATGAAGAGGTGCTTTTTATTGAGATTCCTCTACTAACCCTTGCATTCCAGGGATGTTAATATAATTAAAATGACAGTTACTTGAAACAATGCCAATTTCGTTGGCACTTGAATGGTAAAAAAACTACCTACGGATAACGGACGTCCCCAAAGCTGCCACATTATAAGTCTAATTTTCCCCAAATTGGTGACTGAACCCAAATCACAGGTGGTGTAGCCCAATAACACGTGGAATAAGTTGGTGCCAAACTTGGCAGTTCTGGCAATTCTAAAGGTTTTTTTTTCTCTTTGTGCATGAAACAGTATGCCTGCTCTGCCCCAAGTGGGATCTGTGCTTGATGGCAGATCATTCAACTGAGAGCTATGCAACAGTCTAAATAGTAACGGGAATTGAGTCCAGAGGTAAGTAGTCTGCAACAGAGCTGTGAATACCGCAAACCTTGCCTGGTTGGTGAGTGTTCCAGTGGGCTGTTCAGCCGATGCCTCTCAAAGGGAGGCCACCGCAGCTTGACTGCCAAAGTCCAGCTAACTTTATGCTCGGGACCCTCCAGTTCCGGGTACCTAGTGCCGTGTCCGCTCCTCCGCGGGTCAGCGAGTAGAGGACGGGGTAGTATAGCTTTTGCTGAGGTCCGTTGGTTCAACTGTGGCTTTGTCTGCATCTCGTGTGTTGTAGTGTGATGTGCCTTTCACGGCTGACCTGCTCGTCCCTGTCGGTTGCTGGGTGTATGCAGGGTTTGCAGCGCTTTGTATCTTCGCCGACGTGTGTGATGTCCTTTCGTGAGGGGTCTTGTAAGCGGGAGGCTTTTCCCTCTGCGGCGCCATCTTGGGGCATTGTCAGGTTGAGGAGTAACTTGCTTGTGGCGGGGTTGTTTAAGTGCTTCCCTCCGTGGTCGAGTGTGTTCATTGACTTGCTGTGCTCGGCTCTCTAGCTTCGCCCAAAAGGCTTCGAAGATAGCATTCAGCCTGATCGAGTAGGCCGGCACTTCTGTGTCGCGCTCCACTGTGCACGTGGCGTCCGCCATTGTGCTGTTCAGTGTGTCTAGGTGTCGTTCCTGCAGGTGTGCAGTTTGCATCTGCCCTGGCCCGGTTGCTTCAAGGTGGTGGACCGGGATTAACCCCACCGGTCCTGGACTGTGGGGGGTGTTAGGCTGCCATTCGGTGTCATTGCTGCCTTGGTGCTGGGTCGGAGAGAACGGCCGTCTTTCCCTGCCGCCATCCCCCATAGGCCGCAAAGTGCCTCCTCAGGGTTACGGCCGTTGAAGTCGCCTGTGCTGGTATCAGACTGATCGCCCGGGTTCCCCCTTCTCGAATAGTGTGCCCCGGCATGGTTTCAGGGTTCGATCGGGGTCTTGGTGCTTATTCTGTAGCGTGTGGCAGGAGCACTCTCAGTGTGCGACTGTTCAGCTTGCCGGTCAGGCGCCGCCCCCAATTCTAAAAGCTTTTTGTTGGCACTGGCCCCAAACCGGAAACCAAGGAGCAGCCGGTTTAGAGACAACGGTAACTAGGAGTCTACAGATATATAGTTTTAATGGAGTAGAAAAAGAAATCACAGGACAAGCCTGTCTGAGTCAAGTACAGCCAGAAAGCCAATGAATTAGTCTTATAAAACGGAGCATGGAATAAGCAAAAATAGCCTTAATTTGGGCATGCCATTCACAAAAGATAAATTATCATGGCTTAAAACTTCAAGTCCTAAACTACTAGCCAAGCCTTAAAAATTACTTGCCCCTGCAAGCTGTGAAGATTTGTGATACAATCACCAGGGGTGAAATTCTGCTTCACAAGTCTATATTTCCACTTGACAATAGCTAGTGGAAATTTTGTACCCAGAGTTATTTATACACAAATCTTGGGAAATTGTTAAACATCTCCAACCTATCGTTCCTGTAAGTTTTTTGTAATCTGTTGGCGCTATATAAAATGCCAATAATAATAATAATGATTAAATAAATATATTTTGACTGTTGATCCACTTTAATACTTTAATTAAAGAAGAAGAATTCAGATAGACCACTTGACACATGATATTAATACAAACAATAAGGGACACATAGTAACTGGTCAGTGACATTACAATGGTTCTAAATAAACCGCCACGACTTACCATTTGCAAATCGATTTCCGATGTAATACTCCATGGCTGTGATGCTTTCAGGTCCATCGAGGGGAGAGGTTTGTGTGACATTCAAAAACTCTGACTGTCGAGGGCTGCAGGTCAGCTCACAGAACAAGGTCATTAAATTAAAGAAGCATGAAGGACATCTGGTGAGGAAAAAAAAAAGACTTATTAACACCATCAAATATGTCTCATGCGCATAGAGTAAGGATGAGAGGTGTGTGTCATAATATATATATCACACACATACATACACAAATATACAGCTGAATTATACTTGGTTAGGAGTTTAGAGCTCTGTCAAGGCAAAGGGTGTTGAAAACACTTTTGCCCCTTTTTCTGTCACATGCCTCTCAATAAGTGAATTTAATTTTGTGTGCCACTGGTATGGGTGTTTGTGGGTTGTAATGAGCTCTTAGCAGTAGCATTGGATCTCTCTGCAGATCTCATTCATTCCTGCAGACCTTGCCATTATTTTAATCACAAAATATAGCAATGGATACAGTATTTGACTGGACTATGTTTTTAGATGAGGAAGTTACACTGAGTGCTACAGATCAAGAATAATAAAAATGAAATAAATCACTGTAATGTTCCTGCTAACTGATGCATTTTTAGAAAATTGACTCAGAATTTATTCTGTGAAGTGGATCTGTTACTTTTTGCAAAGATCCATCCAGGGGTCATGCAAGCTGGGGAGATATACACAACCACAACTAAGCATCTTTGCCCTTGGTGCTGCCATCATCTCTCTCTGAAATACCAGCAGAGGAGGTTGCCCTCATTTACGAGCAAACAAAGCAGGGGTCCATGAAATATTCCGAGAGGCTGCTGGACAGACTTTCTTGTGCATACACAATGAGAGATCATAGGCACGTGACAAGATGCATTTTCATTTTGGCCATTGCAAATATTGGAGCCACGTGTGCTACAAGATTATTAAAAATTCATTGTCATTCCAATTCAATATAAAGATTCTATGAGAAATTACAGGTCTATTTTAACATATCTCCAGCCATAAGGTTTATCTACAAAAGTGAAAATTCAAAGCGAATTTTAAATTCAAGGTCAAAATAGCCAAACTGCAAATGTTCTCTATGTCAGCTATGCTTTCAGTTCAACTATTCTGACATTAAAATGTGAAATTCACTTTCGTAAATAAACCCTTGTATGCCTTGAAAGGTCCTTTAATGGTGTTAAAGGACTATGACACCAGACAGCGAGAAAATGCATGGTTACCAGTAACCAATTTTTTTGTTCCATGCGCCGATGGATTAGAGTCCCTAACCGGAATGAGAAAATTGCAAAGGAACCCAACACCAAGTGACCAATTTATGGACTGAGGTTAGGCAAATCCACCCTTATTTTAATAGTCCTGCCATGCCATGGTCCATGAAGGGGTTAAACACATGCTGTTTCTTCACAACTGCAATGATCACCTAAAAAATGATTTCTGGAGTATCACCGGGTTATTCCAGGACAGAGTTTAAGCGAGTTCCTTTATTTCAGTTTTTATGAGAATATGTTATGACCCAGTGATACATTTCCTCTCTTGTACATCTGTGTCACGGTTACGGTTTAATAATATACCAACATACAATCTCAATCTAACAACGGTTTCTGAAAAGATAGGCCCAAGGCATTTTATGTAAATTAACTTACATCTCCAATAACATCTATTTCATGTAAGTAACATTGCAAGGATATAGAACCACACAGTAAGTTATTTGTGAAGTTTACAGGACCTGATTAAAGGTGTACAGCGCAGACAAGAAAAACTGCAACATCCTAGCAGGGACACCACGCTGAATTACTTACATCATGATTAACTCATTATTCCGATCCCTGACACTGTCAGGACTTTGCAAAAAGAAAGCAACATTTTATTTTATTTTTTTTTTTTTTTTTTAATTCTTTATTTTTTCGTGCAGAGAAAATACATTACAGTCCGCAGTGCCACGATAGCAGAGCCAACCAAGATATACATGCAGTTGTACAGTGTCATGTCACATAAAAGAAAGGCACAAAACTCGCTTTTACATTGTAGTTACGTAGCTACCCTGCACAATGCTAGTGATTAGCTTATTTACAAGAGAGACTTGAAGCGGAGGGGGGGGAGAGGGTGGTGGTTGGTTATTCAGGCTAATGTTTCAAGACGTTTCATTATAGGTTTGCTTAAGACCTAGGTTTCATTAGGCAAGTGAATAAATTGCAGTTACACAGGCTTATGCTTATATGGAACAATAGCTTATCTTAAGGAAAGTATTCAAATAGGGAAATATACCACCAGGCAGGTTGTGACTTGCTGGGTTGTTGTCTACACTAGGTCATCAAGACCATCTCTAACTGCAGCCTCAGTTATAGTACCAGTGGTGGATATGTCCGTTTGGTTGTCAGCAACTGGTCCAGTAGCTCCTGCTTTAGTTGCAGTCTGTCGTAAGAAGCTGGGGTACCGGTCAGTTTTGGCGTCAGGGATGATGGTGAGCAGTGTCCTTTTTTCCGGCATTTAATTAGTCCTCGTAGAGCACTTCTGTGTCCTTTACGTCCTTGGGACCCACTGCAGGTCAGTGTCTGCGGACCTCTGTGGATTTTCTTTCCCTGCTGGTACGCGGGTATGAGTATGATGCTTTGCAGGTCGCAGTGATCAGGTGTAGGCCCCGCTGTAATGGGGTAATCGTTTGGACACTGCCTCCGTGTTGGTCCGCGGTGTGCATTATAGGGAGCTCTGGTGAGGCGCGCTCGGTTAAGATAGGCGCTGGGTCCTCAGCTGGTGGGTGGGTCTGCTTGCGATGTGGGTAGTCGGCAGAACCGCAGGCCTCCGCTGCTGCCCCATCGTGCATATAAATGCCCTGGGTGGTCGTGGCTCGGGCCATGTGCCGCTGGAGCTCTCTCAGCACGCCTTCTTCATCGGTCGGCAGCCTAGGTGCATCTCCGTCGGCCATTTTTTCAGGGCTGCTTGGTGGCTCTCGGTGCAGAGTCACCCAAAAAGTTCTGCCAGGACGTTGTCTGCCAGGTGGGTGCTGGGATAACCCCCACCGGCCCAGGGGGTGGGTGAACGTGACCGGGGTATTCAGTGCGGTTTTCAGTCAGTGCCGGGGCGGAGAGTGAGGCAGCGGCCATCCGCCCCACTCCCTCAGTCTCCCCAGCCCCAGAGCATCTCACCAAGACTCGGTCCACCCGTTCTCAGGTGCTCCAGCTGTCCCGGGACACTCCAGGACCAGGTATCTCATACTCCCAGGGGGTTCCAGGCTGGTTTTGATTTTTTTTTTGCCCATTATTAGTCAAGTTCCTCTGGAGCTATTGTGACTAGCAGCCTGCTGGCATGGCCGCCCGGCCCCGCAGTTTACTTTTCAAAGAGCAGGAAAATCTATTTTTTTCAAACATCCATTACCCTAGCTCAGTTGACAGATATAGGTTAGTTTTATATATACACCTCTGCTTGCTAGAAGGCAAAACCAGCACTACGCTATTACATCTTAATGAGAAATGTAACCATTTTCTTTAAATTCAATAATCAGCCAAATGACAGGCCAACCCATATACCTTCCTGGCACTCACACACATCTAGTTATTATTTATTTTTATTTTATTTTAAAGTGTTTTTAACTTTATAATTACCACAGGACTGGAAGGAGGAACAATTCATAGAACTATGGTGTTTCTTTAATGGCACAATAAGTACTAGCATTAGCTTGCTCAGCTCTTTATAAACACATCTAGCTTCAAGCTCCTCATTCCTATATATTTTATTGGATACAAGCACACACATATATACTAGTCTACTTTGACAGATGACTTGATAGGTTTGCTGCATAAGTAAGAACCACAGCTAAAGCCAGAAGAATGGTGTCACTATAACAAAGTTGCAAGAAACAGCTAGAAAGTTTAAAGAAAGTCAGTGAACTTTAGAAATCACTTATTTACAGAAGCTAGTTAATCCCATGCTTATGAGGAAACAAGTCGGTGTATTTCAAAACCAAAATCAGAATCCAGAGCCATTCATTTGAAGAGGTCGAATTTCTCTATGAGCAGTTTTACTTTGCATTTGTTAATTAATTAAATTAATAAACAACTTAGTTCCTCTCGCAGATGGACCGCACGGCGCTGGAAAGAAGGTGAGTTTTGCATGCTTTTAAGGGGGGGAAGGGGGGATAAGCCACATTAATGGTGGGTTTAGCACTATAGGGTCAGGAATACATGTTTGTGTTCCTGACCCAATAGTATTCCTTTAAGTTTATATCTCTCATTACAACAAAGCTGAGTATACATAGATAGATATACTGAGGAATCGCATTTTATAAATACAAAAAGTAGCATTCAACAAGTTGGCCGATATGGCAGAAAATGTCAGCTCTAGTGAATCCAATATATAATAGCTGGAATACTAAGTGTTTGAAGTGAGCATACAAATATATCTCAAGATAATATTTCATGATTCAGGATAAGGACTTACCTGGATAGGAACTGCAATGGAAGCTGCAAGTGGCTGTTCAGTGTGTTGAGCTGAGCAACGTCACAGCAAACACTCACATTGCCATAGTACAGCGATGGACAAAGTTGCTGTAATAGAAATGTTATAACAATAAGAAACAACACAACAGCTAAACATGTAATATCCCCATGAATGGTCTTGAAGGGTCATGCATGTTAGAGACCAATGAAATAACTTCTACCGAACATGAAACTAACAGGAAAATAACATGAAACAGAACAAAGACAATTTGAAGGGGATACTCTGCCCTTGGGTTTTTACGTCCAAGATGCATTATTTTGCACTTATTCACATTACAAAACACTATAACGAAAAGTGATCCCTGGCAAAAAAGCTTCGGGAGCACCAAAAAGAGTTCTCTGGGCGTTGCAAATATATATACGGATTAAGAACACCTTTATTATAGGTCATAAATTCCCAAAGAAAAAGTTTTTTTTGGAGTTCAGATGTTTATTGCAACAATAAGAGATAGCTAATTCTGCAGTATCTATGGATACAATTTAATAGTTCACGGTCTCTAGGTCTTTGATACTTTTGGAGGTCTAAGTAATGGATACTTTGTTAGCAATCCAATCAACTGTTTTTTAGTTTATAAGTTGACAAGCAAGGATACTTTTATCCACTATCCATAGACCATTACCAGGATTTAAAGTGTTACTCCAAGCAATGAATGCATTATGAGCAATCTAATCAATCTTAAGTCTTGCAAGACCCGCGACCGTCAGAGCATTGCCACGGGTTACCGTGGCAAAGCGCCGCGCGGAACGCAGACCGCAAGACTTACATTGCGAGCTGAACAGGGGAGCTGCAGTAAAGGTAAGTAAATGCTTCCTGCCAGCCCACCCACTGCAAAGCCCATCTACTGGACCACCAGGGATTGCCATAGCCCCCCTCCCTGGCCAGGTATTAAGCAGGGAGGGGGGGACAATAAATAAATAAATAATAAAATAATGTAAAAAATATATAACAATATTAAAATAAAAAAAATATTAAAAATAATAAAAATGCCCTCCCCCCACCCAGTTTACACACACTACACAAACACACAAACACACAAACACACACACTGCATTCATTATATATATACACACACACACACTGCATTCATTATATATACACACACACACACACACACACACTCTGCATTCATTATATATATACACACACACACTCTGCATTCATTATATATATACACACACACACACACACACTCTGCATTCGTTATATATACACACACACACACACTCTGCATTCATTATATATACACACACACTCTGCATTTATTATATACACACACACACTCTGCATTCATTATATACACACACACTACACAAACAAACACACTGCATTCATTATACACACACACAGTAAATAAATATTCAATTAATGTAATTTTATTGGGATCTAATTTTTATTTAGAAATTTACCAGTAGCTGCTGCATTTCCCACCCTAGGTTTATACTCTAGTCAGTAAGTTTTCCCATTTTTTTGTGGTAAAATTAGGGGCCTCGGCTTATATTCTGGTCGACTTATACTTGAGTATATACGGTAATTTAAAAAAAATGTAAATATATAAAAAAAATTAAAAAAGGTCTGATAGAAAATTAAATCATTTTGTTTTAATGCAGGTTGCGTCAGTCACAGCCAGGAGAGGTGTGGCTAAGGATGCATAAACAGAAACAAAAGCGACTTAACTCCTAAATGGCAGAGAATTGAGACTTCAAAGGCATAATCTATATACAAAAACTGCTTAATTTAGCTAAAGTTGTTTAGATGCCCATAGTATCTCTTTATGCTTTACTGCTGTTAGCAGCTCCTGCTGATTGGCTGAGAAGCCACAAGTCTGTTTTACAGCTGAAAGTATTATTTTAACTTCCAGAGGCAAAAATATTAAAAAAACACTATAGGGTCAGGAACACAAACATGTATTCCTGACCCTATAGCGTCAAAACCACCATCTAGTTCCCCTGCACCCTTAAATATAGCAAAATATTACCTTTGTTGCAGTCTGCTGCTGCTGGATCTGCTTCGATCTGCCTGCTTGGCTGACACAAACAGAAGTGTTGATCTGAGCCAAACACAACGCATAGGATTGGCTGAGACGGCCTAAGAGGCAGATCAGGGGCAGAGCCAACACAAGCTCTGGTCAATCAGCATCTCCTCATGAATCAATGCATATCTCTGAGGAAAGTTCAGTGTCTCCATGCAGAGGGTAGAGACACTAAATGACAGTACAACACAGTGAGCAGCACTGCCCCAGGAAGCACCTATATAAGCCATCTGAGCAGTGGCCAGTGGAGGTATCCCTAGGCTATAATGTACACACTACCTTTTCTCTGAAAAAAAGTGTGTTTACTGCAAAACGTCTACAGGAAATGATTTTACTCATCAGAACAACTACATTAAAGGAACACTATAGTCACCCGAACAACTTTAGCTCAATGAAGCAGTTTTGGTGTATAGAACATGCCCCTGCAGCCTCACTGCTCAATCCTCTGCCATTTAGGAGTTAAATCCCTTTGTTTATGAACCCTAGTCACACCTCCCTGCATGTGACTTGCACAGCCTTCCATAAACACTTCCTGTAAAGAGAACCCTATTTAGGCTTTCTTTATTGCAAGTTCTGTTTAATTAAGATTTTCCTATCCCCTGCTATGTTAATAGCTTGCTAGACCCTGCAAGAGCCTCCTGTATGTGATTAAAGTTCAATTTAGAGATTGAGAAACAATTATTTAAGGTAAATTACATCTGTTTGAAAGTGAAACCAGTTTTTTTTTTTTTCATGCAGGCTCTGTCAATCATAGCCAGGGGAGGTGTAGCTAGGGCTGCATAAACAGAAACAAAGTGATTTAAAGGGATACTGCATTTCATCTCTTTGAATTGGTTATAGTGCCTGGAGTACCCTGGCACTGTCCCTCCATTCAGTGTTGCACCATGTTCATGCAGTATGCCCAAAATAAGAGTCCCTGGCCACCCACAGTCCGGCCCCTTCAGTATGTGTAGCTAAGGCAGAGATTACACACTTCCTTGTTGTCATACCCATTCATACAGTCAGTTGGAACTCTGACAGGCTAAAAGCAGTCAGCTGACACTCTCAGCCAATCACAGCTGCCCATTGCTGCTCAGGCTAATACTTCCTTATTAGCCAAAGCAGCACAGAGGGGATGGATTGGCAGGGACTCTTGTTTAGCATTAAAACATTAAAACTTTAAAAACTGTTTAATGCTGAAAGAAATGATGGGACCAGAGGACTCTAGACACTTTAATCAGTTTAATGAGATGAAGCAGATACAGTGCCTATGGTGTCCCTTTAACTCCTAAATGACAGTGAATTGAGCAGTGAAATTGTAGGGGAATGATCTATACACTAAAACTGCTTTATTTAGCTAAAGTAATTTAGGTGACTATATAGTGTTCCTTTAAGCTGTAGTTGTTCTGATGACTATAGTATCCCTGTATCATAATGAAATTATACTCACAATCCCAAAAAAACTAAAACACAAAAAAAGGGTTTCTCCCTGCAAACTAGAAGTAATTTTCCAAAAGTGTAAATAGCTGCCTCACTCCGAATAGTTACAAGGTTCTAAAATAAAAAGAATAGAGGGAACAATTTACCTGTAGCAATGTGTGACCTTCCTCAGGCAGTGGCTTAGGGGGCCCAGAATACGCACAATTGTACTGTTGGCCAGTTTCTGTTTTCCCACATTCTCCGTACCATACACAGTGCTGGGAAGACACCTTGTAAAAATGGAAAGAATTATGGAAATAAAAATAAATAAATAAAATTTGCTCAATTTAGTATATATCTATACACGTTAAAACAGAAAACACAAGGTTATAAATAAGATGTGCCCTCCCCTCTCCCAACAGGGGAGAAACCAGAAACCCACTAGAGCAGAATGCTGTATACCGGGTAAGGAGGAAGAAGGAAGGAGAAGTGTCATCTAAGTTGTGGGGGAAGACACAACTTATAACCACAGCAGTGTTGGCATGGGGAGAAGTTTGGGGGTAGGAGGGAATGGCAAATACAGCCCTGACTTTACACACTACAAAGAAACTGCACACATATATACTCCAATTTATAAAAATAAAAAATACCCCAAATCAAATAAATAAGCATATATAGTTAATGACTTTGCCTAAACCAAACAATGTTTTTTAATAAAAAATAGCTCTGTTATCAATCCCTTGCCACATAAATAGTGAACATATTTACGAATGGAGCTCGCACTGGTACAAAGTTTTTCTTCATTTAACATTAAAATAAACAAAGATGTCAATGTGTAATTGTGCTGTAACAAGAGATGGCCAAAATATAACTACCAGGAAATGTGCTGTGTCAAACAGTTCAATCTCTACACATGGTAAACAAAGCTCTAACAATGAGCTCAACAAACAGGAAATCCAGGTGTAAATCTATCCGTTAGTTGTACATTTTAAACCTAGCGATATAGAAAGCGTGACGCTTGTGCTTGTATAGCTTTGACACATATCTCCGTTTATAATTTGCAAATAATATGTGTGTCTATACAAGACAAGCTTTTTATCGATAACATAAGCAGGGCTAAAAAATTTCAAGTTTTATGCTACTAGCCAGGCCAAAAAGTTTTGTGCCACGGCAAGCCTGACACACTAGCCAGGGATGAATTTTTACTTGCCAATGGCTAGTGGAAATGTTGAGCATTGACATAAGCTTTAATCAGAATATTGCCAAGCTAATATGGACTAATGTTAAAAGAGCACTATAGCGTTTGGAATACAAAGCTGTACATTATATAGAGTCGCAGGATGTCCACCCACCACATTAGTGGTGAGACGCCATTGGCACTGGCTAGGTCTCCCCCTTCCACAAAGCCATGGTGCAGAGTTGGATCTAATACACATGCGCAGCGAGCGTCAGAGAGCTCTCATCATTCACATTATACTCACTAAGGGCCCCCAACATCAATCTTTTAGTTGACCAACACCCATTGTCACAGCAGTTCCAATCATTAACCCTATGTAACACAGGTAGAGAAATTGTACGGACGTTCCTCACTTTCTTCTTCCAATGTAAGAAACAGAAGCAGCTACAAAAACACATGTAAAACTAATACAGAACTCATAGACTGAAAGCTTGTTTGAGCAAATTATCCCCTTTCTACAATTGTAAAGCAAAGCGAAATATGCTGGCGCTAAATAAAAGCTAATAGTGAACAGTAAATGATAACCACAGAGACACCAGATGCCAAAACACCAAGTGTGTGAATGTTTGAGCACAATGTTGAAAGGTTAAGAGGCATTCTTTACATAAAGCAATTAGAGGGCATGAAGTGCTGTACATGTGACAATCAGGCGATCTTGGGAGAAATATGCCAAACATGTAAGAAGGCAAGAAAAGGGCTTTTATAGGCCAAGCAATAGCCTCCACTGCACTCTATAGAGATAAACATATATAAAAAGAGAGGAAAACAATAGAATTGTGAGGACAATGTATAAATAGAAATTTCTAAACTGCAAACCAAAGCCATAATACCTGCTTAACACACACAGATAATTTAGGTTGGATTACTTTCCCATAACATCCCAGAAATAGATATGAAATAATCAACTGAGCCCTGTGCCCGGAGTCACAGCCAAAACAGATCAAACTCCAGGGCACGTGTGATCTTGGCAAACACAAACCAGGATTTACATCCACTGGGAAATCTATTTATTATGAAGCTGGTGCACAAGGATTCTGGCATCAAAAATCAAAAACAAACAACTGTGCACATATTTACACAGGGGTAGTTCTTGCAAGGCACACCATAGATACAATGTTTCTATCCCTTATCAACAGAGAGATAACTTACACATTGTGAAAAAAAAGATATTTTGACAAGATGTAGAGCAGAGAGGAGTAGTCAAAACAGCAGATCCCAAACCTGAGCAGAACTACAACTCCCATTATGCATGGCTAGGCTAAAGGTATTAAATGGATATGGCTTGGCTTAAAATCCTCTAAATAAGTAATCACAAACATTATTATTTTAAACAAGGGAACAGTATGTTAATTTTATATTCACCCTTATTGCTGGCCAGGCTTAAAACCATAGACACCCAGACCATTTCAGCTCATTTAAGTGGTCTGGGTGCTGTGTCCCTACTGCCCTTAGTGCTGCAATGTAAAACACTGGAGTTCCAGAGAAACTGCAATGTTTACATTGCAGCAGTGAGTCTGCCCTCCATCAGACAGCCATTGGAGGCGTGTTCAGCATCCAAACAGACCTTTGGCCCTGTAAATGATGCTGGATGTCTTCACGCTCTGCATTAATTCAATGCTTTCCTGTGCGGAGGTTTAATACACGCATTTGCAGCGCATGAGCATTAGCACCCGCTTATTGTGGAACACAGGAGGCAGAACCGCGACCCTGCGCGGAAGGGACATCAGTGCTGAGGTATGGAAAGTAAATAAAAGGGTTTTGTTTTTTTAACCCTTCATTTACCGTGAAGGAGGGGGTTGGCAGAGGGAGCTATAGTGCCAGGAATACAACTTTGTAATCCTGGCACTACAGTATCCCTTTAAATCCCAGGGGGCCTAGGCAGGTCACCAGTTTGCAGTCCCAAGTCATTCTTCAGATGATTAATGGGGTCAAGCAAATTCATGATTCTGAAGCTCCTGTCTAACTCCTGGGCTATTGGCAGTCACTTACTGCACCTGCATTGCTTGAAACAAGAGTGACTGATGGGAGTGTGTTTGTACTCCAATTTCCCTCCACACGACACAAATTCTACTTCATTTTACCCCCTCCTCTCCATGTTCCCAGTAATAGGCCATTCTCACTTTATAGCAAGATTATGTGAACATACAAACAGTTTAATGCACATATACAATGTAAGAAATGTTAAAATGTTATTAACATAACCTTACATGAACAAGGCCCCAAGACCACACTTACCTCAAGAGATTAAACTGTTCTCGAACGGTTTAACCACAAAGTTGACTCCAGCACTGATCTCAACTCCCCCCAGGAGGCATTCAGCTTCTGAGATTTCAGGAATGGCGGAGTAAGTCACTCATTGGCTGAGAGCAGCCAGCTGATGCTCTCAGCCAGTCAGTGACACACCATTCATAATACAGACTTGGAAAAGGTACGTTTCTTTCGAAGCCAATTTTAACGTCAACTGTGAAGAGTGCGCCCAGGGGCTTCCTGACACCATAATTCAATTTAGATGAAGTTCTTATGGTGCATGGAGGGCTCCTTTAATAACAATAGTGCATGGATTCCTTGTCAGCATTTAATCTAAACTTTATGTTAGCCAGATTATCATATAAAATAATCAATTTTGATTAAACCCATCTTTTTGATTTAGCAGAACATCTCATATACACACACAGACAAACATATATATTCTATATATACATACACACACACACACGCCTACTTTTTCTTATATTTAGTTAGAAATAGATGAAAAATTTAAAAAAGAAAGACAAAGTAAGAGAAGAGGAAGCGACTGGATAAAGGTAAGTACAGCGTGACAGTGATGCTTTAAATAAATCAAAAAGCTTCGCTCCTTTGACTTATTTCAGGCACATTTAGCACAAACTGTATAGCTGTGAGTTCCCCTTTTCATATCTTGAGAAACAGAGACATGTTCAGATTGTGACCCTACTGACAGCTGTGCTTTCAGTCCCGAGAAGAGGTGTTTTTGTACATAGATTCTTTACAGAAAATGTGATCAGATTCTCACCAGACAACTTGCCCATTAAGCTCCAACACTACCTCAGCAGTATATGGATCAAAGTTCTGGATGATCGTGTTTAACCCCTTAAAGACACATGACATGTCACGATTCCCTTTTATTCCTGAAGTTTGGTCCTTAAGGGGTTAAAGGCTGTGTAGAGTCTTAGTAGGGTGCGATTGTTATTGGTGAGGATATGTCACTCTCAGGGGAAAAACGGCACAGGAGAGTGTTGAATGGTAAAACGTCTCAACGGTTTGTGTTCTGTAGATTGGAGGGCCTTCAGAAGTAACTAGAACATTAAACTTTACGTTGGTGGAAGTTTACATTGTGACCAATACATAATAAGGTAGACTAATAGGAGGAGAGGTTACATTTAGTATAATTGGTTTGAGACTAGAATCACAGAACTAAAAAAAAGTGAAGAAGCCAAAATTGGCAAAGGGTAAAATAATGGGGAACAACCTGTATTTAATGAATTGAAAGGGATTCTATAGTGTAAGGAATACAAAGGTATTTGCATTCTCCCTCATGTCCCCCCTCCCTCGCTGCAAGAGTTAAAAAAGAAAACACCTTATCTGATTCCAGCGCAGATGTCCCTCAGCACTGGGTCAGTGCTTTGCCTTCTCCGGCCGACCCAACACCAAAGAGCTGTAAGTGCATTAGGCCCTCCCCATAGCAAAGCATTGCTTCAATGCTTTCCTATGGGGATTTAACGGACATCAGGTAACCAAAAGTCATCTAGCAAGCAGGAAGTGTGTGAGTGACAGCCACTAGAGGCAGTCTTTATCCTGCAGTGTCATTATTGCAGTTTCTTAAAAACTGCAATCATTTACATTGCAGGAATAAGTAAGGTAGGGGCACTGCACCCAGACCACTTCAATGAGCTGAACTGGTTTTAGGTGCCTAGACTGTCCCTATAAGCCACAATTGTTCAGGAGGCCAAGAGCTCAATTCCGTCATCTAAAAAGGTCAGTCTCGGCACAGTCCCCTTGCACGTTAGATATACTTAGTTAATCTCTACTAGGATGAAATTAATTGGCTACAAATGTCAGCAGACAATACTGGCCAAACATAGGCAGAAATGATGAGACTGATATGGAAGTAAGAATCTCCAAATTGGCAATATCTGAAAAGAAGGCTGGAACATAATTTAGTGTAAGAAAATGAACAAAGTAATGAACATTTTCAGGAAAACACGAAAGATGAGTAGAGGAAATGTAATAGTTTTAATTAATTTTAGATTTATCTTAGAAATGACATCAACAGGAATAAAGAAAACCAACCAAACTAAAACTACACTACAATTCACATGCATTATATTTGGCTATTAAACAGATCTTGTTTATTCATTGGTCATTCTTACCGATGACCATCTGTGTTATCAGCACTGCTGAGTGCAAACTTAAATGTAGGGTGTCACGCTTTTTTTTGATACCCTCCGAGAGATCAGAATCTTTGTAAGGCAGACAATGTGTTCAAGCACTCAAACCTATTTCATAGCTCATTTCAGAGAAATGAAAACTGCGTAAAATAATTGGTTGACCTCTAACACCGTTTGGGCAAATAAAAAGGTCCACGTCACTAGGTTCCTCAACATACTTTGGTTGATTTTCATTTTTCCTGTTCATGCATGTTTTTAATTGATTAAATAAATTTAGTTTTCCTGGGTGCAGTGTCCCAAGTTCTCTCTGGCCCTTATAACAGCCAAATTATGGAGCCGCAACACCAGACATAAGCAAATAGGATCTATATTCCACCTAAGTGTGGAAGTGAATATAGTTCAACCACCAATGGCGTCTTTGACAAGAAGTCTCGTGGTTAAAAAAAAAATGTTGCTGGGTTCACACTTTTGTTTTAATTTTTATGCCAACTCTTTGCACAATCTGGTGTTGTGGCTCCATCATTCATTGTAATATTGGCTGCATAACACTGGGATAGATAACATTGTGTTCAGTTATAGCATCAAACCAAAATACCCTCCATATAAAAATATAAATGTATTGTAAGTGGATGTCAGTCAAATCAAAATACCCTACACGTAAAGATATGAATGTATGCAATCTGAACGGTGTAAACGCCACCTTTTCTGGGCATTTGCAGTGATTATATTGTTGACTAAGCCCACCTCTGGTGACTAGCCACTAGAGGGAATTCCGGAGATCAGCACTGCAATTATTGCAGGACTAATGTCCAGTGTATTCACACAGAATGCATCTCTATGAGGAGATGCTGATTGACACAGAGCAGCAATTTGTCACGCATGCACACTAGCCTCCCAACACTATTGCAAAGCAATGGTTTGGCTGAGATTAGCATAATTGATAACCTCTGTCGGGGAGGCAGGGTGAATGCACCGAGACATGCACATTGGGTAATATAAGGTAATACATCTTTTTATGGTGGGTGGCCTCACCTAACTAGTTACTAGAACACTATAGCATTGGGAATACAGGTTTGTATTCCTAACACTGTAGTGTACCTTTAAGCGAGCCACAATGATAACACTCCGTAACCTCTGACATACTTCTACTCCTCACTTCCTTATAACAGTATCTTCTAACAATATCATTGTAATTTCACATTTACCTTCCATCACTGCAGTTACTGGATCTCTTCTGTCCACCACACCATACCTACAAATTCACATTCCAAGTCCCCTTCAATCAGGTGGAATGGTATTTTACTAAAAGGGCAGGTGAACAGACTTTAAACTTAATGCTTTAAAACAAGGCTTGAGGGCGGAGTTTAGCAGCCGATCCAAGCGGTCGCACGGTAGATGGGCTCCGTTCCTACCCAGTGCAAAATAATGTTTTTCGGCCACCTAACCACTGTAACGGTCGACCAAACAACCCAGAATGAAAATGGGAAGAAAGACCAAGAAACAAAAACCAGCTTCATGGCAAAACAAGTACATATGTTTATATAAAATGCAATTAATGTGTTTAGAAATTAGTTGGTGTAAATAAACTACCGTATTTACTCAGATCTAACGCGCACCTTTTCTGGAAAATAAAGTTTCCAAAATTTGAATGCGGATTAGATTCGCTAACGCATTACATTCGGGGCAAAATTTGAACTTTACCGGCAAATTCACTCCGGCAATTTTTGTTCCTGAAAGAGAGCTTAAGAAAGAATAGACTTAACATGGAACAATAAAATTAAAATCACAGTAATGTTACTATGGTTTATGCAAACATTTTCATGGTAGCACCAAAGGAAAGCATGGTGTTTTTGGGATGTTACAGTATTCACTAGTTACAGCATGAGCAAGTATAACAAGACAGGTGCATCGCACTAAGCAGAGAACTTGTCAGTCACGGAATACGGGTTATAACGTTTTACAGAAATAGGGGCCAAGAAGTGGTCCTCTAGCAGTTTAACCCCTTAAGGACGGAGCCAAATGTACACGTTGTGAACAAAACAAAATGTAAACAAAACCTGGCATTTGCGCTACATGTATGTCCAACCGTAATTCACCTCTTTCATAGTAAATGCACCCACCCTTATTATATATCATTTTATTCAGGGGAAACAGGGCTTTCATTTAATATCAAATATTTAGCTATGAAACATAATTTAATATGAAAAAAATGGGAGAAAATAAGATTTTTTTTATTTTTTTAGTTCTACATGACATTTTAACTGTCAATGTCATAATACTGTTTGCTTTTACTGCAATAAAATACACATATTTGTATTCAGCAAAGTCTCACGTGTAAAACAGAACCCCCTATGTACAGGTTTTATGGCGTTTTGGGAAGTTACAGGGTCAAATATAGCACGTTACATTTGAAATTGAAATTCGCCAGATAGGTTATGTTGCCTTTGAGACTGTATAGTAGCCCAGGAATGAAATTTACACCCATAATGGCCAGTGCTTGTGACTAAGTGGCTACTAAAAAAGACTGGACATACCCCGTTTGCAATACCTTGGGTTGTCTACTATTGCAAATGGTATGCCATCATAGGGGTAATTTTCATTCTTGGGCTACCATAGGGTCTCAAAGGCAACGTAACCAATCTAGCAAATTTTAATGTGAAAAAAATGAAACACAAGCCTTATATTTGACGCTGTAACTTTTGAAAACACCATAAAACCTGTACATGAGGGGTACTGTTGTACTCGGGAGACTTCGCTGAACACAAATATTTGTGTTTCAAAACAGTAAAAAGTATCGCAGCAATAATATCGTCCGTGTAGGTGCTGTTTGTGCGTGAAAAATGCAAAAAACTTCACTTTTACTGGCGATATCATCGTTGTAATACATTTTACTGTTTTGAAACACTAATATTTGTGTTCAGCGAAGTCTCCCGAGAAGAACAGTACCCCCCATGTACAGGTTTTATGGTGTCTTGGTAAGTTATAGGGTTAAATATAGTGCTAGCAAATTAAATTCCCTTTACTCTCGGCATGGGTTGTCAGGCAGGTCCCGTATTCAATCCTGAAGCTGTAACTCTGCATACGGTTTGCCTCAGAAAAACAAGCAGTCTGCTGACATCATCAGAAGTGGTAGCCTGATCCAATCACAATGCTTCCCCATAGGATTGGCGGAGATTGACAACGAGGCAGATCAGGGGCAGATCCACCATGATTCAAACACAGCCCTGGCCAATCAGCATCTCCTTATAGAGATACATTGAATAAATGAATCTCTATGAGGAAAGTTCAGTGTCTGCATGCAGAGGGAGGTGATACTGAATGTTTGGGTGCCATGACCCAGGAAGGATCTCTAACAGCCATCTGAGGAGTGGCCAGTGGAGTTATCACTAGGCTGTAATGTAAACACTGCATTTTCTCTGAAAAGACAGTGTTTACAGCAAAAGGCCTGAAGGTAATGATTCTACTCACCAGAACAAATTGAATAAGCTCTAGTTGTTCTGGAGACTATAGTGTCCCTTTAAAGATGAACCCAGGCATTCATACACATTACACAACTTGTCACAGACCTCTAAAGCACAGTCAGGAGATATTTACTAATGAGATGGTGTATGAAAATGAAAGCCACAATACTCTTTATCCCAAATAAAACTCAGCAACCAGAACTTCACTTTTTCTTATTAATATGCCTTACTCTACAGACAGCAGATAATATAAATGTATACTTCATGGCTGTATTGATAAATCAAAGCCCTGAGATATGAATTTGCTTCAAATAATAAACACTCAAGTCTGCCCAATGCCCGCCATGCAAGTTTGTGACTGTGAACAGCAACGCCACTTTGGCCCCTTAAAGCTTGACATTTGTATTCACGTTTCAAGTAATATCACAAAAAATATCACAGAAATAATTTTTATCTTCAATTAAAACTAATGTTATTTACGTCTATCAGGTCCCCTGAAAGAACACTAAAAAGCAGAAGTAACACTTTTAAGCTCTTCTTTCTCTGTTCTGCTCTAACGAGAAGGAACGCTCTTCACAATGAGATTGTCTTTGTGTTTAAGGCGTAATTAATGCCGTTTCTTAGGCTTCCATGCACTAAAATACACAACACAAAGTGTTCTTTGTTAAAGGCAAACTAGCACATTACTATAAATTATGTTAATTACATGGCAGAACATTACAGCCTGAAAATGGAAGCCAAAGGGGAGAATGACTGACATTTAAAATAGTATCGTATTGTGACAATATTACTTACGCTGGTAAATATAACATTTATAATGATTAACAAACACTGTCACCTCCCAATGGCTCCTCATTCCATAACCCACACTTTTACCTGCATGACATCACTTAATTATGCTAATATATGCATCTGAGAAATGGCCTATGATCACATGCATGTTCTGATATTCTTTTCATATTTTCCCATAGGAAAGCATTGGATTGGCAATTCTGATGATCTCGAAGGAGGCGGGGTGGGTGCAGAGCCAATCAGCATCTCCTCGTAGAGATGCACTGAATCAATGCATCTCTATGAGGAAAGTTCAGTGTCTCCATGCAGAGGGTGGAGACCCTGAATGTCCGTTCTGCACACTGTGCAGCACTTCCCCAGGAAGTGCGTCTAGTGGTGGTCTGAGTGACTGCCACTGGAGGTGTCCTTAGGAAGCAATGTAAACACTGCCTTTCCTCGGAAAAGGCAGTGTTTACAGCAAAATGCCTGCAAGAACTGAATATACTCACCAGAACAACTGCAAAAAGCTGTAGTTGTTTTGCTGCCTATAGTGTCCCATTAAGTACCAGAATCTTTAACATGTCTGCCTAGAATTGTTAATGAAACAAAGTTTATCTGATTCATGCCTCTAGCATGTAAGCTCATTGAGCAGGGTCCTCAACCCCCTCTGTTCCTGTACGTCAGTGGTCTGATCTCAATTATGTGTCTGTTAGTCCACCCATTGTACAGCGCTATGGAATTTGTTGGCGCTATATAAATAATAACATAATAATAATAATAATAATAATAATGAAGAGTATTTGCCTTTGTATGAAATATGCCAGCCTGCCAGCTTAGAAGTAGGTAGTAATGTATTATACCTTTGCACTAACTTTCTACATTTTCATAAAGCTGCATTCTTAAAATATACTTTTTAATTTTTAACTTTTTAAGCTAATATAAAAAGGGAGACTTTATTTAGAAAGGTATACTTTTTTTTCTAATTGAATTTCCAGAGTTTTTTTGTTTGTTTTTTATCCTTGCTACCCAATGAAACTGTTTTTAGGGACGCTTAGAGCAGTTAGACCCTTGTAATAGTGGCTTTACTTTTTCCATGCTTATTTTATATACACACCTATAATTTACATGTCTACTGTATGTGACAATTTTAGTAATTCAGCTTCAATGAAAATATCTCAGACCCTGTACGGAACTTTAAGAGAGAATAGGACATAAATACATTTAAAAGTGGCCCCTAATACCTTAAATCAAATGCCTCTAAATTGTAAGAGTGTAAGCAGAACAAATGGAATCTACTGTAAATCTGTCTGGGCCAGTTGGGTTTCTCAATACCTTTTTGCCAATAGTGTTTAGCGGTGCAGAATTTGATCGTGCTATGTAAAAAAGGGAGAAAACTTTACAGCAAAAAGCCAAATGTACCCTCCATTGGAGCTTTATAAATACAAATATTACACATTACTGCAAAGAGTAGCTGTCAGATAAGGCAGTGGGACTGTACTTTAATGAGCTTCCTAGCAGCACAGACGTGAGCTTTGGTTCAACAAGCTGCTCTAAGACAACCCAGAGCAACGCAATGCTTTCTGCTTACACTCAGATTGGCAGACCACTTGCTGGCAATCTGGGGGAGATCTAGCTGTGGCCCAGAGAGATATTCTGGAGGATACTTGTCATGTTCTGAAAAGTAACCATAGAAACCAGTAAAATCAAGTACATTCCAATGGTGATTACTCCACTTTTACAATTTTGCATCACTTTTCAAATCATATTTTTTATAAATACCTGTAGGTAATTCACACAGTCTCCAATCTAAGTATAACTTTCCAGGGAAGTCTTTCACTTCACACTACCAGATCATCTACACCCCCTCATTAGGAGTGAGGCAGAGGGCAAATATAAATTTTTCCATTAAAATTAGCAAGTTTTAATCATTTGCATGGTTACTAGAGTCTGCAGACTTTGGTTTGGCTCACGGTTATGTTATCAGATCATTTTGGCACAGATGTTTGCTACAGTTTGATAAAAGTCTGTTACCAACTTAGGGTAGGGTAGGGTAAAAAAAAACGATTCCGTTTAAAAGTGATTGCATCTATCACGGAAAAAAAGAAAACAAAATGCACATGTGTTCCTGATTGGTTTGTGATATTTCATGGCAAATATTTCCTGTTGAAGACAACAACATAACAAGTGACATGAGAATAATTCACTGACCTCAAACTCACTAACCCAGTTAGTAAACCAATTTGTTATTTTTGGGGGCTTTTCATAGTTTGTTTTATTTTAAAGCTGGAACGCAATACGCTTGAAATTGGAACGTACAATAAATCTCATCATAATACGCGAATACACAAAATAAACCATTGAATTTTGCCTTTAAACCATATAACTCATGTTTGACGAAACAAGTATTGTTCAAAATACAAAAACAAAAGCAGTTACGAGATGATGACCATTTCCAAATGTAGAAAAAATGTGAAAGGCGAGCATGTCTATGACCTACTAAATAGATGGGGGCGCAGCGATCCAAGGGAAGTAGCACAGAGGCCTCATTCATCCCACACTGTTGCAGACATTGTTTATTACCAGCAGAAAACGAACTTACACCATTCAAATGGAAAATTAGAGTGGCGATAGCCTAAGCCATATAACGTATATTATTATTTTAGAAGATTTGGTTCACAGTCAAAGATCAAGGACTGGCTCCTCGCAGCGTTTCACAGACTGTGACGCAGTACAAACCAACTTGGTCATTAGCTTGCAAATGGAATGTAAACAAGTGCTTTAATGATACACATGATCAAGGTTATCTGGAAACTCTGGCCTTGTGGGTGAGGGCAATAACCTTCAAAATCAGCACATTGTAATTACAAAACATACTCCAGTGAACTGGCCTAGTTCTATATCTCTACTAAAAAAAAATATAGAATTACAAAATGCAAGGGATTTTTGCTTGTTTTTTTAAGGAAATAATTATGCAAAAAATGATCCCTTAAAATATAAAAAAAAGAATGAAATAGATGAATGTTTATAGTGATGTTCAGACTCTGTACCTGCAGAGTCAGAAGGTTTAGTGTACATTAAGTATTAGATACAAAGGACAGAAACAAAGTATTTACAAAATATCCCATCAATCATTTCCAATCCCTTCTAATATTACAGCCCTTCATTTAAAATAAAGCTATTGAATCGGGAGACACTTTCTACTTTCTAATACGGAGGTCACTTCTAACATTTGAAAAGAGGGGAGACCTTTTATTACCACAAAGGCAGTACAGACTTGTGTAATTATGTGTTCAACATTATACCCATAAACTGGATAAAATGACTCCACATACCTCAAAGAAATATTGCTATTCTAACCCTCATATGGCATCTAGGTTTACACACACACATTATATATATATATATATATATATATATATATATATATATATATCCATGTTTAAAATGGAATTAGGCAAAAATGTGATTCTTTGTTAAAGCCATTTGCATATTCCCACCCAGAATCCTTTTCTGTGGGAAACGCAAGTCTTATGGCTTGACAGATTTTTAACATTGTATTAACTTTCCACAGACTTCAGGTGGAAGGGGTTTTCAATCACAATTTTTCCCCACCATAACCTTTTTGGATATTGTGGTGTTCTTAAATAATTACTGTGTTCTAATGGCAGACTCTTCCTTTTAGAAGTCCCAAATTAGCTAGTTTAGATTATCAAAATTAAAAAGGGGTGTGTAATAAATGCCTCAGGCACCAGGAGTGCATTCCGGGACCTGCCATACTACACCAAACAGCTTCCCTGTTAGTCACTAATAATAGCAGTCAGCTAAATATCAATTGGCTTGCTTGGATCATCAAGACTAATGAATTAAAGAGGTGAACTATAAATACTTCGGTCACCGGAAGTATCGTCTGGGACCTACAGTACTACCCTTAACAACTTCTCTATTAGTCACAAATTATAGTAGTCAGCCCGGAGTCAATAATATTGACCCAAATAATAAAATCAGAGCAACTCCGAAGCCCACAGACCAAACAATGGATATAAGGAAACGGGTCTGAAAGTACCTTAGTCTCCAGGCATGTTACCTGGGGCCTACTTAACTACAGGATCCGAATGTCTAATAAAGTGCCACAGTCTATAACTAAATACCTAGGTTTTTCCCCCCCTCTTTTATTTTCATTTTTTTTGGGGTAAAGGCTGATACCCTCCTAGAGTTTGGACTTATACAGCAGAGTCACCTACCCAAACACCTCCATCAACTTCAGCAGCATGGGATCCTGAGAGGGTTCGACCGTTTGTGCCGGCGGCCCGCTGGGGAGATCTCTCTGTAGCCCTGATGCCTTGACTCTCCCGTGACCCACCCTGCAGTCCATTACTTTATTATTTTGCTTATGTTCTCTGGTGATTGTTTCTGCATTTATTATTTATGATTTTTTGTAATTGGCATTTAGCAAATATACAATGTTCTGTAGTACACCTGACTTTGCATCGACTGATAGCCCTTATTACACCATAATCAACCCCCCACTCACCTATAAGTTGTTTTCGTATTTTAATCTACATATTGTTATGAGGGGGATTTGGCCTCTATAGCCTGAATTAAGGTTTCGACCTTTTGATTTTACTTACACTCTTTCGAAGACATCAGATGCTCCTTGCCTTCAGCTACTTATTTTATTATCGTCTATGTTCCATAAAGACATAGGTAACATCTCGTTTAGACGCTTCACTTATTATACGCAAGAAAAAAAAAAGAAAAGAAAAAAAAAAACAGCCCCCAATGATATATCATATCTTTATGCATATCTGTGTTCTTGTTCTTTGTTTTGACTTCTCTTTTCATACCAGTGTATTGTATACTATCTGGCCTGTGAATAAAGAAAGATTTAAAAAAAAAAAAGTGATTGCTCCGAGAACAGGGGAGATGTTTTGGTCAATAGATGTATGTACATTGATTTTACTTCAGCTTCTATATGGCCCCAGGATGTTATATATTATCACATGGTTTAACAGATTTACCCTATGATTCTATTTTAGTTTTGTTTAGACTGCTTTGATATTTTTTTTTTGTTTGTTTTTTATTTTAGCCCTGCGTTGCTTTAACCCCTTAAGGACCAAACTTCTGGACTAAAAGGGAATCATGAAATGTCACATGTCATGTGTCCTTAAAGGAACACTATAGTCACCTTAATTACTTTAGCTAAATAAAGCAGTTTTAGTGTATAGATCATTCCCCTGCAATGTCACTGCTCAATTCACTGTCATTTAGGAGTTAAATCACTTTGTTTCTGTTTATGCAGCCCTAGCCACACCTCCCCTGGCTATGATTGACAGAGCCTGCATGAAGAAAGAAAAAAAAAAATGGTTTCACTTTCAAACAGTTAAATAATGGTTTCTCAATCTCTAAATTGAACTTTAATCACATACAGGAGGTTCTTGCAGGGTCTAGCAAGTTATTAACATAGGAGGGGATAAGAAAATCTTAATTAAACAGAACTTGCAATAAAGAAAGCCTAAATAGGGCTCTCTTTACAGGAAGTGTTTATGGAAGGCTGTGCAAGTCATATGAAGGGAGGTGTGACTAGGGTTCATAAACAAAGGGATTTACCTCCTAAATGGCAGAGGATTGAGCAGTGAGGCTGCAGGGGCATGTTCTATACACCAAAACTGCTTCATTAAGCTAAAGTTGTTCAGGTGACTATAGTGTCCCTTTAAGGGGTTAAATTTTTTTACAAATTACGGTAACTTCAGGGGACCTGCGTGTCAGTGGCAGTACCTGCCTTGGGACCATAAAATGCTTCCAAGAGTCTATGACACTAACACTGGCTTTCTCTACCTTCCCTCCCTTTACTACATCCAAGCACTCTTCCCCACCCTGTCTGCAGACAGCTCCAGGAAACCGGAGTAACCCGATAGGTCTTCAATCGCTCCCTGAAAGCCAGGGGGAGCTACCATAAAATGACCCCCCCATTGGCACTGAACTTGTGGAACTAATTTCGGCCATGATTCAGCGGCCTGTCCAAGCTTTATTCTGGTGGCGTTTCCCCAATTCCTTATGGATGCGAGTGCTCTTTTGCCAGAATGAGTGCTCGGATCAGACCTTTCCAACAATGTCCATGTGAATGTTCGGTATAGTTCTCAGTTTTTTGGGCTTCTCTGTATCCAGGAGATAAAGATGGGCGTCTCCCAAACACCAAGACACTAGGGATGTCCACAATGAAAACCTCCTGCCGGGGGTCTGTGTATAAAAGGTTGCATTGTCCCAATAAAGTTTGTCACTGTCCTAACATCAAGTGTCGTCATCAAGTGGGGGAATAAGGGCTATAACACTATTCAGCTCTTTCTTCCAGCTTGAGGGATATTTCAGCAGAGATACCCAGCCGGGGTATAGGAGCTCCACTACAGAGTCCTTTTATGGTATTTGCTTATTTATAAAATTCTAATTTACAAAAAAAAATTTAAAAGTGCTTGTACATTCCCTATTCCTGTTTTAAAAGCAGAATATCAAAGTTCCAAAAAGGGCAGATAATTCTCCCAAACAAATTATGCCATCAGCATTCAGAAAGAAGTGACTGTGCACAAAAGCACTGTGTTCAATCGACTTCCACATGTCAATAGTCAGCATTCACTGCTGGGCACATGACAGTCAGCTGAGATGACTAGATTCAGTTACTGGAAGCGTGAGAGGCTGTGTTGCATCTTTCAAGACAACAAAATTAGCAGACAGAACTAAACATGTAAAATACAATGGTTAAAAACTATTTTAGTATAAGAACAAACTAAGAGCATTTACTTTAATTTCAGAGACAATCTAAATAATTTTTTTTTTTTCTCTTCAATTCTTTATGTGTGCATCGGAAAACACATACCATACATCTTAAAGGGACACTACCATCACCAGAACACCTACAGCTTGTAGTATTTGTTGAGGAGTGGAATCAGTCCATTCAAGCTTTTTGAAGTAAACACTGTATTTTCAGAGAAAAGGCAGTGTTTACATTACAGCCTAGGGATGTCTTCACTGGCCACTCCTCAGATGTCTACTAGAGATGCTTCCTGGGGCAGTGCTGCACAGTGTGACCGCAGTGTCTCCACCAACTCCTCTGAACTTTCCGCATAGAGATGAGTGGAGGAGTTTAAGCATGTGTGGGAAAGGCATAAGGCTATCCTAGACAGAAGATAAGGCCAGGGACTAATGAAAGTATTTAGAATATTGGGCAGACTAGATGAGCCAAATGGTTCTCATCTGCGTCACATTCTATGTTTCTATTAATTCACTGCATCTCTATGAGGAGATGCTGATTGGCTAGTGCTGGCTTGTATTCCATGGAAAAGTATTGTGATCATCACTTCTGATAATGTCAGCCAAGCAGGGAGATCAGGGCCAGAGCCAGCAGCAGCAGACTGGTATAAAAGTAAGATATTAGGGGGGGCTAGATAGTGTTTTAACACTATAGGGTCAGGAATACATTTGTGTTCCTGACCCTACAGTGTTACTTTAACACTGTTATTGCTGAACACCGTGATAACATCTAAAGATATTTGCATAAGGTTCAACATCTGCCTTCTTGGTCTTTATTCCATTTTTATTAGGACTTTTTCCCTGGAGAAATGGGATCTAAATTAGTTAAAAGGACACTCCAGTGCCGACCCCTTCAGTGACCTACCAGAGTCCAGCAACGATGTCCCTCGGCGATAATCCAGGGTCCGCCGACGTCATCTGGCGGGGGAGACCGATTGTGCACGCGCGGCCGCCGGCGGGGTGAGACCTAATGCGCATGCGCGGCAATGCCGTGCACGCGCATTAGACCTCCCCATAGGAAAGCATTGAAAAATGCTTTCAATGCTTTCCTATGGGGGTTTCAGCGACGCTGGAGGTCCTCACATAGCGTGAGGACGTCCAGCGACGCTATAGAACAGAAAATCTGTGCTATGAACCAGGAAGTGCCCTCTAGTGGCTGTCTAGTAGACAGCCACTAGAGGAGGCGTTAACCCTGCAGTGTAAATATTGCAATTTATGAAAACTGCAATAATTACACTTGCAGGGTTAAGGGTAGTGGGAGTTGGCACCCAGACCACTCGAATGGGCAGAAGTGGTCTGGGTGCCTGGAGTGTCCCTTTAAGTATGTACTCGACCATATGTTTGTTTCAATGGCTTAAATTGCTAACAAAAGCTGAGCAGTAAAGACTCCCTCAGAACAATGACAAAGCTTAAAAAAAAAAAAAGGAAGGGAGTCTTTTCGTGTGTCTGGCTTATGGGTGCACGTCATACAACTACTTTTAATGCCAAGAGGAACCATAGCTGCACCCCCCCCCACCCCAGTACTAGTGTGAGGAGGTTCTATAGCAGCAACAATATTAATAAACCGCTACACTTTTAAATCAAAAGGAAGAGGACAAACATGGACATAACAGCCTAGTTATGTTGCAATGAGCTCCTGTCAGTTTTGGCATTTGTTTCATTAACTTTTTCTAATAAATTGAGCTCCTGTGGAGGCTTGAGATACATAGCGCATACATTCTTACAATAATTTCAGTTCCCATTTAAAAATAAATAATATATATATATATATATATATATATATATATATATATATATATATATATATATATATATATATATATATATATATATATATATATATATAATGACTAAGACAGCCACTAACCAAGTATGGGCAAAAAGTTGCAAATTATTAAGATTTGTAAAAATAACTGGAGATTTGAAGGTGTTATCTAATTTTCCTATGGATTTTCAAGGTATTATCTGTAGAATGCATTTAATCCTAAAACACATTATGGAGTGTAACCCATTTTAAACATGAAACAATACAAATTCTTATAGGCTCCTGGACATATCTATGAAGTGGTCTGGGTGCAGTGGCAGTTTAGTTTTAACCCCTGCAATCTAAAACATTGCCATTTAGTAGATACACCAATATTCTGATCGCAAGGTTAAACAGCTTTTGTGGGAGTCCTCCTGACCGTCACTAGAGTAATGCGGTGAGAACCGAATCAAACTCCATTCTCACGGCTAATCTTCTAATATGCTTCTCACAAAGAGCATTTGATTGGAGAAGTGTGGCTCTTGAGAAAAAGAGTCTGCATGACGTCAGAGGAGGAGCAGATCGCTGCATGGACTCTCGTTGATGGAAAATCAAGTAAGGGATGCCACTTCTTTTTCCCCTAATTTTCTCAAGTCAGTTTGGTGGGTGGTCTCTGAATCTAAATGTATTTTATTCTTAACGCTTTACTGTTTGTTTAAGGAGCACTATACCTGATCCTGACCCTATAGGATTAAAAGCACCATCTAGCCACCCTGGTCCCCTCATGCTTCCCTAAAATAGTAAAATCTTACTTGTATTCAAGTCTGGAGCTGCTGGCTTTGTCCCTGTTTCCATTAGACCTGCCCACTGCCATTATCAGAAGTGGTGTTCTGAGGCAATCACAGTGCATCCCCATAGGATTGGCAGAGACTGACAAATAGGCATATACGGGGCAGAGCCAGCACAATTCAAACACAGGCCTGGCCGATCAGCATCTCCTCATAGAGATACATTGAACCAATGAATTTCTATGAGGAAAGTTCAGTGTCTACATGCAGAGGGAGGAGACACTGAATGTTTGGATGCATTTTAAGCAGCCATGACCCAGGAAGGATCTCTAACAGCCATCTGAGGAGTGGCCAGTGAAGTTATCACTAGGCTGTAATGTAAACACTGCATTTTCTCTGAAAAGAGTGTTTACAGCAAAAAGCCTGTAGGTAAGGATTCTCCTCACCAGAACAAATTCAATAAGCTGTAGTTGTTCTGGTGACTACAGTGTTCCTTTAAAAACTTCCAAAAAAGGCATGTTTTGCAAGAACTGCAATAACTACATTTTATTATTAACCAAGTTGAATAGTTTTATTAAGGTTGGATCTTTATATGGAATAAATGTATACTGGCAAACATTTGGTGGAAAGAAAGGTACAATAACCTGTACACAGAATGAGAAGTTAAACTAGTCGGTGGCCTCAGGAGGAGGGGTACAGGGCAGGGCATTCCTTACCTGAACCTGTTCGTTGAGGACGCCGCCATCTTCTACTAGCGGGTCTACTTCAGCACCAGAAGCAGATGTTACTGCTGTACTCTCATACATGCACGAGAGTACAGCATTGAGGTCTATGGAGGATCCCGTAAGGCCACCAAATCTTCCATAGATAAAGCCAATTTCCTGCAGCCGTCACTGGTGACAACTGGGGGAATTGACACTTGTAGATGGCGGTAGTTCTGCCCAGTGTCTAGAAGTGTCAGATGTAGTAGCAATACTGAGACAATGTCAATATGAGTATTTCTATCTTAATAAAATACTATTTTTTCAGGGTGGGATGATAGTGCCACTTTATTCAGAAGTACTTCTACTGTCACTATTTCCTTTTTCTGCCTAATGAAAAAAAAATAAGAAGCTAGAAAAAGGGAACGTACCTTTCAGAGGTTTCAGGTGTTACACTACCTACATACAGGTAGAAAATGAGTACTAAAAAAAATAAAAATCTAACTGTTTGAAAGAAATCTAACTAAGAGGCACAAAACTCTATATCAACTGCATTGGACAAAATACATTTGAGGAAGTGCTAATTAAGCATTAAACACAACTTGAAGACTTGGGCTGGGAGCCTGTTTATGCTGCAGTTTGTCTGGATCTTTAACTACTTTGGAAGAATACAATAATTATTTTAAAGAAGCAAGCAGCGATGGAATATATACATGTCCTGTGATGATGTATTTTTTGTGTCTTTGTTCAAAATAAAATTTAAACCACAAATGGATACATTTTCTCTTCAAATTTGTTACAAATTATAGTTTCAAGATCGTTGTAAACCACTCACGGGTTAGTGATAATCTGGATTATATGAATTAGGAATATTTTATTCATAGTCATAAGTGCTGATCTGAAATGTATATATACATATCATTCTGTGATGATGTGCCTCATGGTCCATTTTCATTTATTTGCCGAATTCCTAGGTTCATGGCCACTATTCTTTGAAACACTTGGGAGGCAATCTCCACTCTTCCCTGACTGATTATTGATGGTAATTATTTAATGGAGTCAGCCATTTACCAACAGCCTCATGTAGTAACTTCAAGGTAGGAACTGGCTTGTAGCATTATATAATCACCAATGCTCAGCCTCAATTTGGGTAGAAGAAGCACTTGGTGTGTGTTCTTCTGCTGACGCACGCTGCTCCTTCATGTAATCTTAAAATATCTAATAGAGCTGCTCCCCAGGAATTACACAGGGTTCTGATACATTCAGTAGCACTAGACTATTCAAGATACCAAGGATGATGGTCTATGTCTGCAGATGATCACAGCACAGAGCTCTGACCACAGAGTGACATCAGAAATCTGCTTACATAAACTGCTTAAAGGAACAAGCCATTTAACAATTTATTAGATATAGCCACAAACAAGTAAAGGCCTAGATTTTAAATAATAAACAGTAAGGGCTACATTAATAGGCCCAGATTTGGAGAAGGGGTTTTGATATTTAGTTAAATGAATGGGTTTTTGGTAAACAACAGCTTTGAGTGACAGGCTGCCCAGAGTGACATGTTGGAGAGCCAATGTGTTAGTGGCTAAGAACTCTACTTAAACCAGGTCCCTTCATGGCAAGTCACTTTCCCCCCAAAAAAAAAAATGTACCTATTATTTCCCGCCCTCCCTCCCTCCCAATATGTGCATGGTTAATTGAACATTGGTGTAGTTTCGCAAGTGAATTGTCATGAGAGCATGTCGTATCCCTCACATGGAGGGCTAATTTAAGTGCACTGTAGTCTTCTCATGGACCCTGAGGAATTATCTGGTTAATGGCACCACTGTGCTAGGATTATTGCTACAGGTTATTAAATCATAATATACTGTTGCGTATGCGCCTAGGCCAATTCTAGCGGGAGCTCGCTATGCTCTTAAAGTTATTAATGTTATTTAAGTTAATATATTTTTAAATAAATTGGTTATGCATTTTTATATTAAAATATTAAGAAACATGTGTTTTGCATTTTTAAGGATATTTTGTCACAATGTGTATTAGAAATAAAAGTTGTGGCCTCTTCAAACTACAAACTTGTGTTGAGTCTTTATTTGGGTGGGTAATTTATCGCAGACAACCATCCCCTGGATAGATGGTGCCCGAGTCATGCATTTTTTTTTTTTTTTTTTGGGTGTTCTTTGGTGATGCATAAAAAAACCTTGCAAAAAAATACATACTTGCTGTCTGCAGCCTTTGCAAACCCTCCCTGTTTATCTCTGCACAAATCTTCAGTTTCTGCCAGGGAATACTGCGATCAGAGGCCTCTCATTGAGAAACCTCTGTGCTAGAGAGTCACATGTACACAATTATGCCTCTTAATGACTACAGCCCTGTGATAGTTTTGAACGTAGGAGCAAGCTGCTACCATTCCCTAGTAATGGCGCAAATGATTTGGCAACGGTTTGCCATCTTACCTGGTTCCTGACGGGAACAGAGGTTTCTTTCCTCTTGGCTGTGACAACAACCCGCTTTAGTAGAGTTGCAGAAGCTGGATGTTGATCCCACCAGCCAGTTATTGGACATACAGACTCCAGGCACCATGACCACTTCAAATCACTGTAGTGGTCATAGTGCATGGGGAAGAAATGTGACATGGCAAGTTTAAGAAAGAAATGAGGCAGGATGGAAAAATGTGAAGGTAAAAAAGTGTAAGAGAGAGATTGTAGACTGCAATGGATTATTTGAGTTCAGGTCCAACACTGGTTCATACAGCAGTTTACAGAAACAGAACATTTTATTAATTGTACACATTTTATGCTAGATTATATATCCTGGCAGTTTCTGAATAAGTATATTGAATAATAATATATTTGTTAAAACGTGTCTGACCCATTTCCCTAAAAATGACCCAGATCAGGACTTGCCAAGTCAAACAGGAATTACTTCCAGGTGTCTTGGTGCTCATCAATCATGTGAAGTCGCCATACTATGAGCTCTGGAATAATTGATTTATGTGAACATGTACAAGTCTCAGTACTGCACAAGATTATTGAGTGTTACAGTATCCAGCAGTATTTCACCTGCCTGATGTCCAACAAACCTCAGGCAGCACCAGGATATACATGTCCCATTCTGCCAGAAGTTAAGCCCCCCAGACTGCACAGAGGTGATCCATACATTACTACCTGTTTATTATGTCACCATTATGTCACTACCTGTTTACTCTGTCACCATACAATGCAGCACCTTCCCACTGAAGAAAAAAACACCAACCAGGTAGATCAAGTAAAATATAGATAGATATACACACACAGCACTAGCATATCCCCCAAAAAAAGTAAATATCTCTTTACAGATATAATAGTAAATATTAACATTTTTGGTAAAAAAAATGAAATAAGTGACAGGACAGGTCTATTACAACCCTACAACCTCTGATTTGCTGATTACTAGAGCAGTGCTTTACAGTCTATTCTCCCTGTAGTAATAGTTGTATAACTCAATGCTCTCTCTCATCACATCTTTATCCCATAATTACGGTATCTATCCTGTCTGAAGGAGCCAGCAGCCATCAGTTAACCAAGGACAGCCAAGTCCAGCAGCCAGTCATATCTTGGGAATAACTCTGGATTTCTTCTTACTGACAATATACCATGTGCTAGTTATTATATTCACGTCCTGTAAGCATACGAGTCCAAGAGTTACTGTATGAATTTGTGACATACTTAATGATGAATGAGTGTGTGTGTATATATCATGGGCTGAGTGATGCAGGACGCACACTGTCAGTAGAATCCCAATTTATCTATACACACTTAGGAGAATTTTTTTTTTTTTTTTTAATTCAGTTCTATAAGAAAAGCAATATGTCACCCAAAGCCATAGCGGTGCCAGCAGTCACCGTATCTATCACTCAATAAGTTAAAGCTCACACAGACTCTCTCCCCAGGAGCTCACACTCACCTTCTCAGTGAGCAGCAGTAAAACAAGCAAAGGGAATAGCTTCCTGCCGACAGTCATCCTGCGTCCAGGAGCTGGAGTATATCAGCGGGTTCACAGAGCTGGTAGAGTATATCAGCGGGTTCACAGAGCTGGTAGAGTATATCAGCGGGTTCACAGAGCTGGTAGAGTATATCAGCGGGTTCACAGAGCTGGTAGAGTATATCAGCGGGTTCACAGAGCTGGTAGAGTATATCAGCGGGTTCTGAGAGTATATCAGCGGGTTCACAGAGTATATCAGCGGGTTCACAGAGCTGGTAGAGTATATCAGCGGGTTCACAGAGCTGGTAGAGTATATCAGCGGGTTCACAGAGCTGGTAGAGTATATCAGCGGGTTCACAGAGCTGGTAGAGTATATCAGCGGGTTCACAGAGCTGGTAGAGTATATCAGCGGGTTCACAGAGCTGGTAGAGTATATCACCGAGAGCTGAGAGCTAGTAGAATATATCGCAAGGTTCTGAGGGCTAGGAGTCACAGAGAGTGAGAGCCGCTCCCTCATCTATGAGTTTGTCTCCTTCTGTCACCGGCTGATGACTCCAGCACAGCCCAGCTCCTCCTCTTCCTTCCTAGCACGGAGCATGCTCAAACTCTCTCCCACCCTCAGTGGAGTTAGGATTGATAGCATGCACTCCCCTCCCCTGCAGTCATTCACTTGGGCTGGGCTTCCAAGCATGCTCACACTCTCCTCAGCTACACTCACTGGGGTTAGGCTTCCTAGCATGCTCACACTATACCTCCTCACTGGGGTTAGGCATCCTTGCATGGAACATGCTCACACTATACCCCCCCACCCCCTCCTCCCTGGGGTTAGGCATTCTTGCATGGAGCATTCACACACTCCTCTCACCTGCACTCACTGGGGTTAGGCTTCCTAGCATGGAACATTCACACACTCCTCTCCTCTGCACTCACTGGGGTTAGGCTTCCTAGCATGGAGCATGCTCACACTCCTCTCACCTGCACTCACTGGGGTTAGGCTTCCTAGCATGGAGCATGCTCACACTCCTCTCACCTGCACTCACTGGGGTTAGGCTTCCTAGCATGGAACATTCACACACTCCTCTCCTCTGCACTCACTGGGGTTAGGCTTCCTAGCATGGAGCATGCTCACACTCCTCTCACCTGCACTCACTGGGGTTAGGCTTCCTAGCATGGAGCATGCTCACACTCCTCTCACCTGCACTCACTGGGGTTAGGCTTGCTAGCATGCTTCAGACTAGTGTTGATATTGTTTCCATGACATGCCTTCTGCTACTATGTATGACTATAAAACAGGCGGAATACAGGCCATACTTGCGATGGATTAGGGTATTTTAGAACACATAATTTTTTAGTAATGTATTCTTCGCTGGTAATAATATATACTGAAATATATTAGACACCTGTTCCAGTGTCAGAGCGTTCTTCTTTGAAATATACAATGTTTGGTGTGCGGTTCTGTGGAGATTATGCCAGTTTCACCTAAAGGAAACCCTGTGGTATTTAGTGTGGGGACCAAGTGTGGTGTCCTGGCGCAGTATTTCCTATGGGGTTTTGGGTGATGATGGATGTCACTGTTAAGTGACAGTTAAGAACTGCAATAATTACCTTAGCAGAGTTAGGGACCTGGGAATATGTACCCACACCACTTCAATGAGCTGAAGTGGTCTGGGCGCCTATCATGTTCCTTTAAGGGGCATCTGTGCTGTAAAATTAATTTTTAAAAAGCATTTTATTTACCTTTTCCAGCACAGAGGCTTCCTTGGCGTTGTTTAGCTCTCTTCCTACCGCAATATCACATAGAGGAGGCATTGGCTCACCTGGTGTGGTCCAATCCAATGTCTCTCATAGAAAAACACTGGGGACAAGCGCCACATGTACACCCAAGCTTCCCCATAGGATATCATTTAATCAATACCTTCCTTTGGGGGCTACAATGTCACATGAGTTTTCCTTGGTCGTTGCACCGGACCACCTCCAGAGGTGTGTTTAATCCTTCAAGTTAAACATTGCTTTTTCTGCAGAATGGCAATGTTTTACCTTGAATAGTTAAATTGACAGGACCACTACACCCAGGCCACTTCATTGAGATGAAAATGATATTAGACATGACATGAAAATGATATTAGTTACAGTCCATGACACTTAATGGTAACTGGATGTGGGTGACAACATATATTTTATGACTGCTATATGTTAAAATTTGCACAGAATGCATCAGGCATGGAGGATATTTTAGAACAATGTTAAAAACCACTGTCTTAAAGGAACATTATAGTCATCATAGACCATCTCAATGAAACGGTCTGAATGAAGTGTGAAGTATCCCTGTCCCCTTAACCCTACAATGTAAAATATTTACTTGAAGCTCTTCCACAGCACAGACCCAGGAAAACTCGATCACATGTTGCAGAAGCTCCCATGGGAATATTGGAATACGCACACTGTGCTAGCTGCAGACACACATTAGGTCCTCAATGCTCCTCTATAAGCCGGAAAAAAGGAACAAGGTAAGTATACAGGTAATCCAAGGAATACTACTGGGACAGTAACACTATAATGTTATAAATACAGATTTGTATTCCTAATGTTATAGTGTCCCTTTAAGTATAACAAAATAAATTTTTTAAGCAACAGTTATGTATTTTTTTTTCAATATAGATTTGTTGAACAGTTTGGCATATATTCACTCAATTATTGACAAGTGAATTGAAAACTGATATTTTTTTTCTCCAAATGAGCTATTTACCCACACTGGGAATTTTTGCCTAAAATCTACAATTCGCTCGACAATGCTCCAATCACTTCAAAGTGAATATCAGATTTTAGGCCACAATAGTTAGACATATTTTCAGTTTGTAAACTTTAACCACAAATATGAAATTCACTTTACATTCATGCTTCAGTGAGTACACTCGAGTTTCAGGAATGTCCAGTAATGGTGCACTGTGATGTCACCAGTTTTTATGAGATAACAAGCATCCCTTTAGTCACAGACTAGTTGGATTATGTGTCATGCAGTGCTCAATGCTGTCTGTTTACTGGGGAGGAGTCTGGAGGAGGGTGCTATATCACACCACTTGTAATCTGAACTCTGGAATGCTTAGATAGAATTGAGACTGTATTGTGCAATGTTTACTTTTATTTGTAATTTCACCTGTGAATTCATTTCTGCTTTTATTCTCATGTCTCACTTAGTTGTGTGATAGGTAGCCCACCTACCATTTAACCTTTACTATTTTCATATGTGAGGATTTATGTTTTTGTATAAACAGTGTAAGCATTATTTCTGTTGGTGTTACCACGGGATGGGACTGTTTAAACATTATGTAAGTATCAACGAAAGGCAAGGGTGTGGGACAACATTTTTGAAGTCCCTAGGCGTGCTGGTACTATTTTGTTAAATTGAGGCGTGTATGTTGCTGTATTCTGCCTCTGTTATTTGTGGGTGCTGCAGTTGCTTTGTAGCGTTGTATTTGTGTCTATGTTGCCTGTTATATTGCACAGAATATGTTCATGAGTAGTTTATGGCATTGTGTATTATACATATAAATGTGGGCTGTGTATGGGGGCTGCTTGTGGAATTGTGTGTGGATGATATGTCACATTATGTGTTATGTGTGTGTTTGTGCATGTATGTGGATAGTCTGTAGTGTTGTGTTTGTGGGAACTGTGTGTTTGTGTGAGGACTATTTCTATTATATGCATAAGTGGGAGGCTTATTCTGAAGCTCTGTGTTTATATATCAGTGAGGGTGACTTCCCTGGGTCTCTGGTAGCCTTAGTGCCATTTAAAGGCAGTCCGAGTGCCATGCATGGCACATGTGCCATAGGTTGCTGAACCCTGGTTCAGGATCTGTGAGGGGAGAGGGGGGTTGGGGACAGGTACTAATCATCCTATAAAATGTAATGTGGTGGGAGAGAGAAGTAAGATCCCCTCCAAAGATGATAGTGTAGCTTTTAAAATATATTTTACTGTGTGAATTTGTGCCCTCCGGGGTCCCACCTTACTCCTCTCTCCTGGAAGCCACCTGGGGATGGGCTCTTCCTCTGGCGATTCCCAGGAACTGCGCTGGGACTCAGGCGTTGGGGAGGCCTAGTGTGCCTCATAAGTCGTCGCGCTGGTGCAATAGAAGGTCCAGGGAAACATCCATTCTTAAATGGTCCTGCAGCCAGGGTTCACCTCTCTCTTGCACTGTCGATCGGATACCATCCAGTAAAGCCTCCATTTCGATAGGATCCATCTGAAAGACATAAAAGAAATCCCCACAGACCCGAAAATAACCAACAGGTAAGTAAGGATTATTAAAAAAGGCTACTTTGATCTAAAATTACAGTTATTTATTTGAATCTGATAAAAAAACAAAACAAAAAAAACACCCCCACTGCAAACAGAACCAATTACCAAGCAGCATATAATTTGTGCAGGCCTCCTAGCTATATCAAGGCCCAGCCCCCTAGCTTTGCTGGTCCCTGAGCTACATTAATGCCATTAGGGCGTGCTATGCCATCTTGCTTTAACCTAATGATTGGCACCCCCTCCCTGGCCTGGATTCTTACTCTCTGTTGCAATCCCAATTGGGGAGACTGCCTGAAATCCCACTACAGCAAATCCCACCCATGCGTCACGTAATAGTGATGACACCGTGATCACATGATTCAGATCGGCAGTTTACATGCAGGGCGACTTCCTGGATTGTCAGTTAGATCCCCCAATTTATAATTAATTTAAAAAAAAAAACCACATAATTATGAAGAAAAACATATAAATACACACTGAGAATATATAGAGAGAGAGAGAGAGAGAGAGAGAGAGAGAGAGAGAGAGAGAGATACAGCTACAATCTCTACTCTAGATATAGATATACACCAGTCAAGCCATAAGACTTGCTTTTCCCAAAGAATTCTCACATTTGCAGTGCTGTTTCTAGGGATTCTGGGTGGGCATATTCAAATTGAGTTCAACAAAGAACTGACTTTAGATGCCAAAATGCCAGAACATTGCAGAATGCAATGATACCTTTTTTTATTGAAAGAAACATAACTTAACGTCCAAGAGTTTTCCTCACTTCCACAGGTCTAAAGCAATACTGCTTCAAGTGAGAAACCACTTGAAGCATTTGTTGAGCTATTTCAGTTGCTTTTGTTTGATTTGTTCATTGCAAACCGCTGAAAGAAGTCTGTAAATTTTGACAATAAACCTGATTTTTAATGGCGTTAAATAATTTTGATTACAACTGTGTGAGTACATATATAAACCTATGAGATAAGGGCACACCTTTTATTTTAGTAGCCAATAATGCTTCATAGCCTTGGAGCAATCACGCTGGAACAAGTATATAACTACAAAATGCCAAAGCAGTGGGCACTCGTAGGATTTTGTTATTTGAAAAATAAAAAACTTTTATTCGTGCATCATCAGGATTCCAGACCCAAACCTGGCCCTTTCTCAAAATCCAATAAAATCGATCGACGTGACATTTCAGTTCATTACATGAACTTTCATCAGGATGAAGGTTCATGTAATGAACTAAAATGTCACGTCGATCAATTTTATTGGCATCCAACCTGAATAAAAGCTAAGTTTAACTTTTTTCACCACTAACTAGTCCTTGGAGTGCTATCATTTCAAACCTCTATATATCTATGTGGACAAGCACCGGGCCCTATACAATAACTTTACTGGAGTGCAGGCAAACAAAAAACTTTTTATATATATATATATAATATAATTTCAAAATACTCTTAGAATGAAATTTTATACATCTTTATATATTTTAATTCTACGTGCAGATTTACGTAATTATGTGATTTGATTTTGTTAATCACATCTTGAGGGACCTCCCTGACAGCCCAGGCAGAAAGTGTTCTGAGAATTTAATTTGCAAGCCCTATATTTGACCCTCTAACTATAACTATCTAAAACTCAGAAAACATGTACATGGGGGGTACTGTTGTACTTGTGAGACATCGCCTAACACAAATATCAGTGTTTTAGAGCAGTGAAATGGTTAACGATGATGATTTAGTATAAAAGGTCAGTTTTTTTGTGAAATAGGCAAAACACAAATATGAACGCTAACGTTGACCAGGGTTTGTGACTAAGTGGCTATTAAAATAGACTAGACATGGGTGGAGCTAGGCTGCCGTGCTGCTTGGACACATGGAAGAGCAGCTCCTCCTGTTTTAGGACTTTTAAGCTCTCTCAAGTTACACTTACCCAGTAATGGAGTCAACTGTGCACTGAGGTGCGGGTTCCGAGGCTGCCTTGGTAATCTGTTTTTTTGATCCAACGGAAGAAAATCTTGGATTCCCATGGTTGTGGCCTACTCAAGTGGTGAGTGTGGTGGACGGCCGCCGCCCTGCTCACTTGCCCAACAGTAGTAAGCCTACTCCTTGGCAGTGTATGGTGCTCGCCCCCTCCCTCCCTTTGTACCACTGGGGCTCTTCCCTGTCCACCCTAGAGCCCTAAAAATGGCTATTATAGTGTACATAGTGCAGACTTACAAACCCAAACCCACATACCTCTATTATGGCCGCTGAGATGGGCACTTCTACCTGACACCGCTGTTTCCAACTCAAGGAAGCCACTTGCTGATGCCACTGTCAAACCTTTCCACCTAAAAGTACTCTGAACTGTCATAAGGGTGCTGAAGATTCACGACAAGCCTCAACTGACTCATCACTCCTGCAAGGACATACCGAGTCCTAACATACCATTCTAATTCCAGGCTGGCCAGAAAGGCTTTGGTGATGGTCTTGCTGTGTAGCACCTGTCCAAGATATCGATGGCATCCCTGCTTCTGGTTTGGCTGTGTCCTGCCGATAGTGGGAGTTGGCTAATTTCTACCTGGGGCCTGGGAGAGCTTCAAAGGCTGAACTGCCATTATTTTTTCCCAAACAGTGCTACAGAATTTTGCTGGCGCTATATAAATAATAAAATAATAATAATTAGAGTGGTCCTTTATGTTTCTCTCCCTGTTTGAGGGGTGTTCAATCAATGTTGTATGTTCTGCTTTGATTTTTAAGCATTGTATTTTCCATGCAATACTGTTTAGCATGTACCTACCTTACACCTACTGTAAAAAAATAAAATTAAAAAAAGTGCTCCACTTATTACATATTCTACTACTTTCTATTGTCAATCATAATCTTGCTGTTATGTCTTTACTTGTCTGTATTCTAAACTCTGCAATGCTAAAATAAAGAAATTAAAAGAAAACACTGGACATACCCCATTTTGAATACCTTGGATTGTCTACGTTTGCAAATAGTATGTCATGATGGGGATAATTTGCATTTCTGGGCTGGCATCTAGTGCAGGGGCGTACCTAGAGCATTTGGCACCCGGGGCGGATCCTGTGCTTGGCACCGCCCCAAAAACCGCAAAATTTTTAAAAGGTTCTCTTTTTCAATTTGTAAAGACT